GCTATGAAATGCCAAAGCGCCCTGAACAGTTTGCGCCCCCTTAAAAGAAGCGTAACGGAAAACGCAATCTCTCGAGTCGAGGGACGAGTAATTGAGAGAAGTAAAGCGCCCATAACTATGCGCCCATAAATAAAGCGCCCGTAACGTTCGCGCCCATAACTATGCTTCCTGAAAAACAAACTACCAACGACCAAGCAAGCGCCCAACGGAGGTTCAAGGAAATCGACTTGCTACCAACCATCAATGAAATTTAGCCATGGTCCGAAAAAGTTCCAAACATTCAGAAGAATAAACGATAACAAAGACAAGCAGAAGAAAATTGCACTAAGGGAAAGAGATGCGCCCCATTCACTCTTCAGCATCGACCTCGCCTCCGCTCCCTTCTTCGCCGCCCGAACCATCGGCACCAGCATCCGACGCGTCGCTCCCACTGAGGTCGACCCTTTCGTCCGCCTCCCCCTGCATCTCGGCGCTTTGGCCGTCTCCCGTGTTCTGCGCCTCTCCTTCCTGCTCTCCATCCTCCTCATCGCCATCTTCCACGTCCTGCGCCTCCTCTTCCTCGACCTCACCTGGTGCGCCCTGCGCCCCCGCCTCTCCGCCCTCGGGAGTCGCGCGCTCTAGCTCCGTGATGATATGGCACATCAAGTCCTGAGCGTCGAAGTGCCAATCCGGGTGGTCGGCAAGGAGCTTTTGCTGCACTATCTCCACCGTGCTGATGACCACGTCAGCTTGCAGATTCTTCCCAGCGGTGGTGTTCTTGTAGTCAGCCAGGAGGAGCCGGGCTTTCTTCAAGTCCCGGTGGTAGCGCCTGCTCGTCTTCCGCTGCTTCTTGCCGGCCGCCTCCAGTTCGGCCACGGACTAGCGAAGGGAGTTCCTCTCCGCGTTCAGGGCGTCGCGCTCCCGGGTCAAGGCGTCCTCCCTCTCGCGGAACGCCTTCTCCTCCTCCGCCTTCGCCTCCAGTTGCGCGGCGTAGTCGGAGGCCTTCTTCTGCGCCTCCTCACAGGCCGAGCTCAGCTCGTCCCGTTGCTTGTTCGCAGCTTCCAGGTCAGCTTGGAGGCGCGTAGCGGTGATCTCCGCATCCGTGCCCTGGCGCCTGATCTTGTCCACCTCGCGGGTGTTGGCCTCACACAGAAGCATCATCTGAAAGGCAGAGCGCATTGAAAGGAGTTCAGAGGAATTCATACAGCTAGGATGGGAAGTGGGCAGCGTAAAAGGACTTACTTGCGCAGTCAAGTTGGTCATCTTGCGCCAGGGCTTGTCAGTCACGAGGTTGGCCGGGTGCTCGACCACATCGTATTGAGAGCGCGCCCATTGCACGGAGGCGCCTAGATCCTTCGCCGCCTTCACTGGCACGCCCACCGCGACCTTAGTGAGGGGGCGCCGGGGAGACTGCATGTAAGGAGGACTCTCCTCGCCAGTGTGTGGCCCGATGGTGGGCGCCACAAAACTGGGGGGAGCCCCGAGGCGCCCGCCTGCGACTCCTTCGCCCGTTTGGCGGGAGGAACTTGGTCATCCCCGGACCTCTTTCGAGGCGCATGTCGCGGGGATGGACGTGAGACCTCCTCCCTACCCGCCTGGTGCGCCGTCTGCGAGGAGGGGGATACTGGAGACTGCGGGCGCTCCCGCACAGTCGGGCTCGCGCGGGGGCTGACTTGGCCAGAGCCTGCGCTCGCGGCCGGAGAGCTACCATGCGCCCCACCAGAAGCGCCCGAAGCGGGGGGGAGGCAGCAGCCTTCCCCTTTGATTTTATGCGAATGGTTCGCCTCGGAGGCGCAGAGGCGGAAGGCCTCGGAGAAGTAGGCGCCGAGTTGGTAGGTGAGGCGCCCTGGCCGATCCCCAGACGGGATCGGATGATGGACGACACCGAGGTATAGTCAGTGCCTGCGAAAGAAGAAAATAGAGATAACAATTAGCAAGGCAGTAATGGGCGCCTAAGAAAAAAAAAAACAGGGGTGCATGTGAAGAAAAGGCAGAGCGCGCACGATGGAGTACCATCTTGATAAAAATCCGCCAAGTGCTGCACGTACGCGTCGTCATCTTCCAGGTCGAATGGCTCCTCGGAGAGGCGCGCAGCACTGGCCAACTCCGCCTCATTCAAGGAAGCGGGTTTATTGAAATACTTGGGCGTCCCCAGCGCCCACCGTGTCAAGGCGGGGCGCCCACTCGCGAAGAAAGGCGTTTCACGAGGGCAAACAAAAAAATAGGAATCAAACCACGTGCGCCCCAACTTCTGACAATCCTTAATGAAGTGGTAGCCTATTTTCTTGCGCTTGTGGAGTATGAGGCAGTTCTTACTCCGGCTCATCCGGAAGAAATGATTGAAGAGCTTGAAGGTAGGCTCAATGCTCAGACGCCGACACTTAAGACGAAAAAGAATGGAATACAATATGACCGCCGGGGAGAGGCGCCCCAGCGAACACCGGCACGAGTCAAGGACCCCTTCAAGGACGGGGTCGAGGGGAAAGCGCAGCCCGAATCTTAGGTACTCTTGATATACCCCTACCCAACCGGCGCCACAGGCGCCTATCCGAGCTGATCGAGGCGCATGGGAGTATTGCCAAGGCGCAGGCATCTGAGCGGCTACCAGCAATTTCTCGAGGCGCACGCGCACGAGCTTCGACGGATGCTTCGGCCCCACTGATTCCAAGGGCAACCCGGCTACGTCGTCGGGCGCCTGCCCCGAGGCCCAAGTCGATTCCCACGAACGAAACGCATAACTTTGCGATGCGTCAGGGCCTGGGGCAAGGGGGCAAAACCAGGATTAGGCGAAGAATACGTGGGGGAACAGTCCACACAAGGCGCACTTAATGGCGGGCTCAAAGGGATTAGGCGTACGACAAATGAGGGGAGAAGGCGCATAGTAACAGGCTAAGGCGTCTAACCTTAAAAAAAAAAAAAAAAAAAGAGAGAGGCGCATTGGGGGCAGATGTCTTACGTCGAGGCTCGGCGGCCGAAGAAGTGGGGGCGCCTGAGCGCGAGGAGGCAGGAGCGCCGGAGGAGGGCGCCGAGCGCGAAGCCGAAGGCTGCTGGGAAGAGGCCATTGGTGGGAGCGAAAGTCGAGGCGTGCGAGCAACTAAGGAAGGCGCACGGGAGGACGAGTGGCCTTTCTAGTGAGAGAAAGAAGAGAGAGGTCAGAGCTTTCTGAGGGGAAGTGAGGAAAAAGTGAGGGGGGGAGAGGAGAATATATAGTGGAGCGGGAAGCTCAAGAGTCTCAGTGTTAGCCCGTTTTGAATTCCGAATTTCAAGATTCAAAATTCAAAACGGCCTGGGGGGAGATAGGGGGAAGCTCAAGAGTCTCACAGAGTAGGGGAAGCCCAGGGGTCTCACGATGGGATAGAGGAGAAGTCCAAAGGTCCTAGAGGAAAGGGGGGGGGGGATCCCGAGGATACCTTGATAACATTCAAAGTGCGGGAGCTGAAGGGTCCGCAGCATTAGAGAGGATCGATCAATCGCAAGCGATGAAGTCCGGGGGCAAGGCACGCAGAAAGCTAACAAGGCGCTACGAGGCTAGGGCGGATAGCAAGGGGAAGAACCAGGGAAGCGCGGAGGCAAAGGTCTGGGAGCAAGGCGCATGGGTGGCAAACAAGGCGACTCGAAGCGAAGACGGACGCAATGAGTCCAAGGGCGCCTGGTGAAAGTCCACGCCTAAGGAACACCATGTTCCAGCTAGGCGCCCTGGAAGAAGCCTCAGGCGCCTAGCTGGGGGGGGCAATTGTTGGGGATGTATACATGGCCCGCGTGGGTTGGACCGATAGGGCCCAAGAGTAGAGTTTGGAAGGCTGAGGAATTGGACCCGGCCCAATGGGCCCAGAGACAGAGGGAAAGTTGGCCCAGGGACAGGGAAGAGCTTCTCCAGACGGGTGGGGTCCGCAACCCTGACGCGAGGCGCGTGCGACAGGTGGGCACAGGGGTGTCCCAGGGTACGGGTCTGAGGACTAGCTGACGTCATGCGCCTGACCCTTCTGAACGGAGTGTCAGATGGTCGAGGCGCATGAGCGCTGGGCCGTACGGAGCATTAATTGCGGGTCTGGCAAGGGGCGGAGGAGAAGGATGTTGGTCGGCCGGGCTTCGAGTATAAATAGTCGGTTGGTGAACTTCATTTACTCAGGTTGGTACTTCTCTCTAAAATTACTATTCACTTCTCTCTCTAGAAAAAGGAACTGACTTGGGCGTTGGAGTGCTAACGAGTCCTCCTCGGGACTCAGGTTAGCCGTGCAGCGTGCAGGTTCGAGCGTGCTGGAAGGGTCAAGCGCGAGGGTTCGGGACGCCCAGTTACCGGGCTCGAACACCTATCATGTAACCCGAATAATCCATGTCTAATTGACCTATAACCCAATTAACCTAAATTGGACCTTGATAGCTGTTTATTTTCGGAAATAACGCAACCGTTCCAGAACGAACTCCGTCTCTCATGGTTGTCAAACCGGTCTCATGCCGGCCGGTTCAACCGGGTACAACCGGTACCGGTCACCAAACCGGCTGGAAAGAGGCCGGTATTTAACTATGGTCAAATCCGGTCAATACCGGTCAGACCCGGTCAATTCCGGAAATTCCGGCCGGTTAGACCAGAAACCGGAATTCAATGTTACACCTATTTTATCCAAAAATAAATGCCCTCCTTAGGATTTGAACCATGTACCTCCTGTTCATTTTAGACTCTCTTATACACCAGTAGACTACAAGCAACTTTGTTGTACATATTAATCTTATATATTATATATCTAACACTAAATTTTACACAAATCATTATAAATATTAATAAAATTCATTTTATATACTTTTATTTTTAAGCATCTAATTGTTTAGTATTAGTTACCAATTCTTAGCTATAAATTATTTTGTGTGAAATAATTTTTCTAATTGCTTTTTGATGACTAATTTATTTGGAATTGAGGATTTTCATTTGTCTCATATATTTTATTAAAACCGGCACAACCGGCGTGAATACTGGTTATACCACGGTCGGACCATTCCACTTTCAAAACCGGCACACCGGCATAAACCGGTTTGACAACCTTGCCGTCTCTCAATCTCAACGTTTGTCGTCTGCACGGAGATCCTCCTCCTTCCTCAAAACCTAAAGAAACGTTAGGGTTTCCCCTCTGCATCGATCGGCGGCCCTAGAAATGGATCTGGAAGTTGTTGGCCGCCACGCGCTGCTCTTCGACGACGATGCCATGGCGGAGTTCACCAACTCCGCAAATGCCCTCGTCGAATGGAACTCTCTCTCAATCGACCGCTACGACGTCCGTCATCTCCTTACCGGCCCTCTTCCGCCGCGTGCTCGTCGGCGACACCACCAGGACGATGCTCTTGAATCGGAGCTAGATCGCGAGCGCTACCAGGATTTGCTGTCGATTCCCGATGAGCAAGGTAAAATTCTCTTTGATTGTGTTACTTACAGCTTTGCAGATTTATGATTGTATTCTCGTGGATGTGCTATTATGCTCTTTGCCCAAGTTCTAGTTTCTCCCCCGCAAAATGGTTGTTTGAAGAACACAAAACGTGCCTTCTTCTCTCGGGCGGCAGAGTATGTTCATTTTGTCGATTGCTGCCTCGTGCTGCTAGAACTTGCCCTTCCTTACACAGTAGCCGGCTACAGGGTGGCTGTGGACCTGCAGCTCAGCAACTAGATTAGTTTGTTTGATAAGGTTTAGCAGTATTCAGTGGTTATACTTCCCTGTCCATTGATGGTTTGTGCTGAAGAAGAAGAAGAAGAGAGTTGGTCACCTTTGCTCTCTAGATTCAACCTTGTTGATGCGAGGTTGACACTTCCTCAATGCTGATCCCTTACATTTCGTGAAAGTTGATTCTGAAAATAAAAGAATGGAATTATGTTGCATTTGTGTTAAGAGTGGTGAAGGAAACAGGGGATATATGAAAGTAGGTAGGATGATCAGATTAGAGCAATTTGTTACTCGAATAATTTGAATAATTAGCATGATAGCGGTTGATTTGATGGTCAATACATAATGCATGGTCCATGGTTTACCGATTGCTGCAAGGATGCCAATGAAAACCTTTTTAGTCTAATATGGGTCTCTTTTTAACATAATATTCAGCTGAACAATGGGAATGCAGCCTATGATATGTGTGAATGCTATATGTTTTGGGTTACTCCAAGTTTGCAGGATCGAATTTAGTTTGCTAAAGTTTCTTCTTTCAGAGGTACAAGTAAGAATTTCTTTTACTTTTCCCTAGAAGTATGTTCGTTTCTTGTGATTTAGTTCTTAGGCGCTTTTCCCATTGTATACAGAATGATTTGATGGGATCCTCTCCTCATGTGACTCTTAAACCTTCTTGTTTCTTTTGTTGCAGACTTGGAAAACGAGGCAGAACTGCCCAACAATGGTGGCTATCATTCAGTAGCATTTTCATATGGGGAGACCCATTCATCTGACGACCACAATAATGTGGATGCTGAATGTGGTTTTCGTCCACCATTCTCAGTGCCTGAACACATGGTTCAGAAGCTGGTAAGTGTAAATTCATACTTCTAAGTGCTTTTGGATTCTTTTATTCTTCTAATGTGATTGTTTGTTTGATACTTGTCCAGTGCGGCGGTGTGGTAGTTGTCTAAGGTGCATATGTTATTCTAAGGCTTACCATGTCTAAGTTTCAGATGCTCGGAGCAGGAATTGGACTTCTTCAAGGTTGTCACTCACAGGCTCCTTGTCTTCTTTTGATGTCTTGACTCTTGACAAGGGGCCCTAAAGGTGGGATTAGGATGACAGAAATATATTACATTCTCAGCCTATCAGGAATTATTGGGTAGAGATGAGATGGTTGATAGACGGCTTCTAACATTATGCATATTGATCTTTATTGTTATGTGGATATGTACCTCAGTTGTTCCCTAATGGGATTCTTTAGTAAGATGTCTGCTTTCCTGGGACTCTAGGATTACAATTGTCATTGCTGACAGGAACATGTTTTACCTTTGTGTTCTCTGCCTTTTCAGCCACCTACCGAAAAGGTGCATCAGATCATTGCAAGGACTGCCTTGTTTGTGCACACTCATGGGGGCCAGTCAGAAATTGTTTTGAGGGTGAAACAAGGGGACAATCCAACATTTGGATTCCTGATGCCTGACCATGATCTTCATCCATACTTTAGGTTCCTTGTTGATCATCAAGACCTTATGAAGTCTGACATCAACAGCAAGTCTGTGGAAGAAGAGAATAGTTGTAGGAGCAGCCTTGAAGAGACTGGTGGGGCTTTGTCTTTGCTTGGCTCATTATACGGATCAGCAGAGGATGAAGAAGGTGTTTCTGAGAATGCATTATCACTTAAGAAAAATGACCTCGAGGAGGCTGTTGATCCAGATAAAACCACAGTTTCCACAAGATTGCAAGAACTTGATTCTTCTATACTTGCTGCTGCAAGAGATGAGAAGTCTGTCAAGCATCATATTCCTTCTTTGAAAGATGCACCTAAGGTCATAAGAAGAAACCATAGCATTAGCACAGTGAAGGCAGGAACCATTCATGGGTTGAAGAAAGAAGGTAGTTCATCAGGCTGTGTTCCCTCCACTGTTGACCAAGTGCAGAATTCTAGTTCAAGCAAGCTCTGTAAGCCTGAACTACCTATCGTGGAGCCTCCATCCGATATGAAGAGAGTAGTTGATAAGATAGTTGAGTTCATTCTCCGAAATGGGAAAGAATTTGAAGCAGTTCTTGTCCAGCAGGATGCTAAACATGGGAGATTTCCCTTCCTTTCGCCATCAAATCAGTATCACCTATATTACCTAAAGGCTCTTCAGAAGGCTCAAGAGGTGCGCGCTTGGTTTCTTCTATTGTCCCTCCTTCTGACTATCCATCTTTCCCCCCTTTTTCTCCATCAATTGAAATTTGGTTGGAAAAGTATCATTAGAAGTATGTGTTTTTGGTGTCTTACTAATCCAGGGTGCTCTTTCCAGAAAGCTTTCAGTAGACTGGTTGTTTGTTGGTGTCTAACTAAACCCATTTGCCATACTAATGGTTGCTTTTACTGTTTCATAAATTTTAATGTTATTGTCTTGTACGTTTCGTGGATTTAGATTCACCTGTGTTTGATGACTGATTAGTGAGGGTTTCAATTCACTGTTGTTTTCTTACTTCATAAATATGCTCTATGCTTTGTTGTCACATTTAACTGCTTTTCTTTTTGTTATGGACCCCGGCATATACAATAATTTACTAGTTTGTGCAACTGCTTAGCCTTGGATTTCTAATGTTCTTTACTGGTCGTTTTACAGCCAAAATTAGCTGGCAAAAGCTGCAATTCGGAGAAGAATGGTGTCGGGGAAGAAAGTGAATCTCTGTCTTTACCCTCGGACATACCATATGATTCGGATAAGAAGGAAAAGTTCAAGATGGTTATTGGAAAGTCCAAGAGGGAAGGACAACCTGATGCAAATACATCAGCTGCCTCTCAGGCACAACCTGCTGGAGTGAGTATGGATGCAGCCACAACAGCTGCTATTCTTCAGGCCGCCAGAAAAGGCATGACGTATCCTAACCTGGATATCTTTTCGAAGAATTCACAGAACTGTGTTAGTCAAGGCCGCAGCAGTGGAGATGGTGGTGAGCCCGGTAGTTTCAATAGCTCTCGGCCTCATTCGTCCACTCAAAAGATGGTTCCTCTAGCGAAGGCCATTGCCAAGACTGCGGCTATTGCTGCAGCAGACGAGGCTGATTCCTCTGAAGTTGGCCTGACGAGAGAGCAAAAGCTAAAGGCTGAAAGGCTGAAGCGAGCGAAGCTGTTTGCTGCAATGATAAAAGGTGGAGCTGCTGCTCCCTTGAAAAATGAACCACTGCACCGTGTTCCATCTTTAGAACCACCTGATTCTGGTTTGTCAAGGTCAGGAGGAGCCTCGGATGCTAATAATGTTGTGGATGATAGAGAAAGGGATGGGAGTTTAGCTCCAATGCATGCTGATAGTTCTGAGAAAATTGAAAAGATGGAGAATACAAAACAACATGCAGATGCATTGATGGATCGGAGGTCTAAGAGGAGTTACCGTCCCAGATCTGGAAAGGATGAAGAAGGGGAGGAAGAAATGAAGGAAGACGGGGAAGAACATAAACATTCCAGGAAGAAGAGGCGTTCCAATGGTTCATCACATCATCATAGCAGGGACACTGGGAAGCACAAGAGAAGGCGTTCATCTCATCCTACTCGTGCAAACTCTTCGGATGATGAAGATGGGCACTCTCGACACAAGCATAAGGAAAGTTTATCTTCTGAAGATGAGCATGATCAAAAGCGTAGGCACTCTGATCGTAGAAGGCACAAACACAATGCTTCGTCAGATGATGAGCGGAAGCACCCTCGACATCATCATCGTGATCACAATGACTCTTCAGGTGACGAGCGTAAGCACTCTCGACGTAGGCACAATAAGCATGTGGAATCTGATGACGGTAGACGTGAGCACAAACGAACGTCCAGAAGGGACAAGAGGGTTTCAAAGTCGAGGAGAGACGTGGAAATGGAGGAAGGGGAGGTTCATGCTAAATCATCCGATCAGTCCAAAGCAAGCGAGACTCGGAATTCAGGCAGTAGAGAAACTTCTGTGGAGCTGTCGAAATCTGGTCGAGACAGTGCGAAGGCAGCACCGTTGCCCGAACCCAGTCAAAAAACAGACGATGTTCCTGACGACCTTAGAGCAAAAGTACGTGCCATGCTTATGGCAACCTTGTAAGCTATCATTTTCTAGGCAATGGCTTCGTTCATGGAATGTAGCTCAAGTGTACTGCTCCCTTATAAGTCTGTAATCTCACGGTGCGGCACTCTTCCTATCGGTGCTCCTCATTGCCCTTGTTGGGAAGTTTGATTTATCATAGTTTTCTGCAATTAGCTTGCAGGAGTGTTTTTTTAATGCAAGGGTTGGTTTTTAAATTAGGCGCTGCTTAAGAAATCGAGACTGAAACATCTATGTTCAAGAGCAACGGTATTACTACTGGACCGAACCCTTGTTCACGTGAGCAGTGTGTTGCGAAGGGCATCTAGTGAATGAATTTTATCGAAACCTCTAGTAATCCGGAGCACGTCGTTATGGCCTTTCCTTGCTCAGAGCCTCCCATATTGTAATAAGTGGCAGGCAATCTTTCTTTCTGTTATCAATCTCAGCCATTATGGAAGTTGGACGAAAGTGGTGGAGGTTCTCTTGGTGCTGTTCTCACTCAATTGAAGGTATGGCACCCTTCAAATCTGCTCCTAACCAACTCTATCTTGCAGGTATGGGCAGTTGGTGGCGTTGAGAAATGAGAACAAAAAAGAGGGGGAAGAAAGACAAGGGAGAAGAACCCATTTTCCTACTGTGCAGAAGCAAAGACAAAAATGATGCATTCAGTTCATCTCTCCCTCGAAAAGAGAGATATGGATAGGAGGAATTTGCTTCTTTATAATGATCCCTCCAAAAACCACGACGAACCCGTCCATGCACCCTCCTCCATTCATAATTCGAAGCTAGTTGCAGGACCATAACAATGTCGGGTGCATTCTCAAGAGGAGCACACACCATGAACTCCATGTTCAAGTACTTGGTTACCATAACTCCAACCCTTTTTCTTGTATTACAGATCTTTTGCATCAGAGTTGTGGCATTGTTGTATGTGACTGATGCTGTGAATGGGTTGTGCATCCATGCAGGCCAATGGTGAGGAAAGGCTACCACAAGAAGAGCTCCTCTGCCGCCGGGGACACGGTGAGTGGCCGGGAGACGCCGGCCGCGGCGAAGGTGGAGAGTGATCAGAGCAAGCTGGGATCTGATGGTGGTGGTGGGTATTGCAGTTGGGTTCCGGACGAGAAGACTGGGATTTACTACCCCAAAGGTCAGGAGAAAGTAATGCAGGAAATCCCTGCCGGAGCCGGCAGAGATGTTGATGTGCATTGGTACTCTCACAATTATCAAGAGAATTGCCTCTGATATTTGTGTTATGGAAACATACATATATGATATATCTATGTACAATAATGGAGCTCTCCTATCTACCAGGCTACCAGCTCTTCTATGTTCGTTAGCAATTTGTCGAGTCAGCCCTTTTTTTTTTTCTTCTTCCAGAGAGTATCTGATACTTTTATTGCTAAAAACTGAATGTTGGATTACTACGGAAAAATGTTTGAGCTAAAAGTGTAGCACACGAGGGGCTACAATCGGTTAAAATATCGATCTAAGGTTATGATGTATGTGTTTATCTAATGAGCAAATATTAAAAAGTGGTATTTCGAGGCTATTGGCCTCCTTTAAATTTTGTTTTCAGTTGTGGAATGTTGTAGCGGTTTGTTATTTTCAGACTCTATTCATTCTAAATTATGATTTCGTCATTGCTACGGAAAGTGCAACTAGTTTGAACTCGAACTCTGCCCTAATCAATAAGAGGGGGTCAAGACTAAAGAGGATGACACATCTATTGTCAGGACATCGTCAGAGCGGCTAAGAGGGTTAAAGCTGAGCAGTTTTTTGTGGCACTTTACTTCTGATATGACTATAATTTAGAACGAAGATGAAAGATTAAAGAAGGATTCACAAAAACCACAACTCGACACCACTTGTCAAGTATTTAACATTTGTATCTTTTCTCTATAAATTTTAGTCATAGTCGTAGTTCTGGAGCTCTCACTAAACCTCCACAAAAGTAGCGCTAATTTAATGTAGGGGTCGTTTGGATGTGGAAATTTGAAAACGTGGGAATGTGGTTGAATTTCCATGTTTTACAAAACTAAGGAATTGATTTGCGGAAATTGAACGAAATACCACGTTTGGATAGGATTTATTTTTGTGGAAATTTATGGTGTGGAATTTGGTGATAATACAAAAATGTCCTCTTTTGTTTTATATGCATACCCTCCTAAAGGTTGTTGTTGTGTTCTACTAATTACTAATTGCCTTTGTTACATCGGCTTTTTCCTCTTAGTCGGCATTCCAATTAAGCGAATTCGATGAAGAGAAGTAGGAGAATCGACGGCGGATGAGATAATTAACCGAATCCAAAAGTAAGAAATTGACGATAGATGAGAGGAGATATGCGAAGGTGAGGGGAGATGAAGAAGAGACACCATTGTTGAATGAAGAAGAAGGGGCTACTTTTGAAAGAAATAGGTCGGAGAAATCGGGGAAGGAGTAAGGAAGAAAGGAGAGGAAGGACAAAGGGGCACATTTGGAACAAAAAAAAAGAAAACGTGGTAATGTCAAATTACTAGGATGAAGTGTAGTATTTTCAATTACCATGGATGTGGTAATTGAAGCCAATTTCCATACCCTTTTTGCTCTCCCAAACGTGGGTTTTTAACCCAATTACCACATAATGCAGTAATTGGGTCCAAATACCACATAACATTTCCACATCCAAATGAGCCCGTAGACTTTGTCTCTTGAGTTGTAAGAACATTGAACACTCTTTGTTTAAACTTCATTCAAAGAGATGTAAACTATATTGTTTAATCGTTGTTTAAAAAATCAAGGTGCAATCAATTCCATTTCAACACCGACTTTTCTTGCCAAGAAACATATATCCCATAATCCCAACAACCAAATCGGTAAAAATATCACATATATATCAGAAGTAGACTCCTCGACTCCACCATCTAACAATACAGACAAACCAATTCCCCACTTGAACAAGCTTCCCTTTCCTCATTTTTAACGTGTTTTGTTCTATTACACCGACGTCCTGAGGCTCCAGAATGATCGAGTGATTGTTTTCAAGAAAATAATAATGGTGGATTTATTGACTTCTTTTAACCAGACGCTTCCCTCACATTGTTATATCCATTCCATCCTTTCACTTATGAATCATTTGATTTCACACTCACCGTAATGTGTATTAAGATTATATGTATATTAATAGTGTGAGTTTTAAGAATGTTTTGTGACATAGAAAAATGCACGGATTATATATGAAGTAAAATAGAGATTTTTCCAATAATAGCACCTTTAAAAAAAAAATTTACAAAACTAGCACCCTGTCAAAAATATTTACAAAACTAGCACCCTTTTATATTGACCGCACCCTCCAGGTGCGATTTACACATAAACCGCATCCCCCAGGTGCGTTTTACACATAAATCGCACCTTGAGAGTGCGATCTAATTTGGTGGGCCTAAATCGCACCTTGCCCATGCGTTTTCATGTCTGGCCTACATGAAACGCATGGCCGAGGTGCGGTTTAGGCCTGACCTACCTAAACCGCACCTTGGTGATGCGATTTATTTCTCCAAACATGAACCGCATCTGCAAGGTGCGATTTCACCAGGTAGATCGCACCCCCCAGGTGCGGTTTACGTGTCAATTATTTACCGACACCATGCAGAGAATTATGTACGTAGGGTTGCATGGCAGACTAAAACCGCACCCTAGAGGTGCGGTTTTCACAATTTTTTCCCCTATATAAGACTTGCCGGAAAACAGACTCTTCACACCTCTCATTCTCCCTCGCATTCTCTTTCATTTTTCTGTTGTATATCTATATTTATTTAGTGTGTTTGCCATTAAGATTAACTCGTAAGTTTATTTTGTGTTACTTTTTATGCCATTAACTCGTAAGTTTATTTTGTGTTACTTTTTATGCCATTAACATTAACTCGTAACTTTATTTTGTGTGACTTTTTATGCCATTAACATTAACTCGTAACTTTAATTTGTGTTACTTTTTATTGCATTAACATTAACTCGTAAGTTTATTTTGTGTTACTTTTTATTGTTATTTGTGATTTGTGATTTTTATGATATTAACTAAAACTATGGTTTGTTTGTGTGCAGATGGCATTCCGTCAGTTGTTGCTTGGCTTACGGTGGAATGGTTACACGGAAGACACCGGAAAGGGGGGCCACCTACGTCGGTGGCAATTTTCAGAAAGTAACGGTCGGTACCAGACCGAAGCTTGAAGACCTCCATCGAATATGCACTGACGTTACTTGCATGGATGGCACGAGGAGGGTAGATCGTATGGTGTACCGATACCCAAACAGAGCAACTGGGTCATTGTGGCATGAGGAATATACCATAACCACTCAAGATGACGTAGATTCCATGCTCGAATTCTTGAGGTCCAACAAATTGGCCAAAGCCGAGATGTTCGTTTACACCGAGCCAGCCGTTAGTGTTGGAGGTCATTCTGGACACGATCAAACATCTGGTATCCATGGTGGAGGTGAATTATATGACGATCATCCCTACCAAAGTTACCATGATCCTCATTCCTATTTTCAGTACCAAGATGGAGGGCAAGGTGCAGGCCATCATCAATCGTTCTCGTCATATGAAGAAGAAGTTCAACCGGACATCCCCAACCAAGCCCAGTACAACTTCCTGACAGGCAGCGGTAGTTTTCACAACTACCATTATGGAGCTGATGAAGGTGCCTTTCATGAGCAGGATCAGACGGAGGCTGCCACACCAGGACCAGTCAGCGACCCCTCTGATGAAGAAGGAGAAAACAACGTCAGTGCAGACAGCTCAGACCCTCTTGAAGGTGCTGATGATTCAGCACCAGATTCGGGTTCAGATAATGATGGTGATGTGGCTCCTGACCGTGTACCAGTCCCCTACTACAATCACATTCCAGACGACAATTGGATGGTCGACAGCGACATGGAGCCGCCAGAGGTCCCAATATGGGGCCCACTCACTGGGTTTACGAAGGGCCAACAATTTGGCTCGAAGAAGGATGTGCGGCACGCCCTTGAGACTGAAGCAATGACTCGGCATTTTGAATGGGACACAACTCATTCCAACACCAAAAGGCTCATAGTCAGATGCCGTAATCATCACGAGGGGTGCAATGTTAGGATTCGGGCCATCAACAGCAAGAGACACGGCCACTGGGTCATATCCCGTGCGGTCAACACACACACATGTGTGTCATCCATAACTTCCCAAGGGCATCGACAGTTGAAATCCAGGGTGGTTGCTGCGGCTATCAAGCATCTGATTGAGGCTGAACCGGATCTGAAGGTGAAAGTCATAATCGCTGACATTGCAAGTCGTTTTGGTTATATGATTAACTATAAGAAGGCGTGGCATGGAAAGCAGAAAGCTATGGCCGCCGTCTATGGTGATTGGGAAGAATCATATGCATTCCTTCCCAGACTAATACTGGCATTGGAGGTGTCTAACCCTGGGACTGTGTTCTCCCCTCGATACCAAGATGAAGAGATACAACCCCCAGAGGCAGGTAACGAACGCCATTTTCGCAGACTGTTTTGGGCATTCAAGCCTTCTATTGATGGTTTTGGCTTTTGTATCCCTGTGATTACTGTGGATGGTACATTCCTTACCGGCAAGTACAAGGGCACTCTCCTGATTGCCAGTGGGGCGGATGGAAACAGACAAGTCTTTCCTTTAGCCTTCGCCATTGTTGAGGGAGAGAATGCTGATAGCTATGGATGGTTTTTCCGACAAATCCAAATCCACGTCACCAAGAGGACGAACCTGAAAATAATCTCTGATCGGCACGCCGGCATCAGAGCAGCCATCTTAGGCCTGGATCCAGCCTGGAATTGGTCCCAAAGGTGGTGCATACGACACTTCAAAAGCAACTGGAACCATCATTTCAAACGGAAGAAGCTAGCTGATAATTTGTGGTGGATTGGTAACCTCTCTATTGCTCTCAATTAACAATATCTTGTAATATCTGGAGTGGTGCACTTGTTAGACTCTTTCTAAAGAGATGCATGCCTAAGGAAATGGGGTTTTAAGCGATTATGATGGTCCTCCCATTTCCTGGGAAAATCGGGTTTTAAGCGATCTTCGGATCCCCCCTTTTTCTGTCAAACAGGCTGTGTTTCTAAGGAGATGTATACCTCTCCTAAGAGTCTAACGAGAATCCGACCGGCCAGTTTGAAATTGTACTAAATTGAGGATCATTGACTAACATACGACTTTTCTGTGTGTTATTCAGCGGTTGCATACCAGGAGAAAAAATTTCAGGAGAAGTTGCAAAAGCTGCGCGAGTTATGCCCTGAAGGGGCACAATGGCTGGATGGACGCAAAAGATGGGGTATTGCCACAACCAACTCAAGTGAGAGTATCAACTCTGTCTACAAGGCCGTCCGTCAATTGCCAATCTCTGCCATTGTGGAGATGACATTTTGGAAAACGAATGCATGGTTCGTGAACCGTCTCCACTGGGCAAGGACAAACGAGGCACAGGGAAAGGTCCATGCCTATAAAGTCACTGAAATAATGGACAGTGACAATCGCAAGAGCAGTCGACATAGTGTAACCGTTATGAATCGGGCAACTGGTGAGTATAGCGTGACGACCGGACATCGGGAGGATGGTAGACGGGGGGGTCACCGTCACGAAGTTTTGGTCAATTTCAGGACCAAAGTTGGTGAGTGCTCATGCCAGAAGTATCAGGGGAGAGGATGGCCTTGTTCTCATGCAATGGCCGTAATTAAAAAGAGGAGCAAAGACCCCCGTCACTTCGTTAGTCCATTCTTCAATATCGACTCACTCAAAAGCACCTACGGACGGAGTTTCCGTGCATTGCCTGATGAAGCTTATTGGCCGCTGTACGATGGGAAATTGATCGTCCCGCCATTCGGACAGAGGCGTGAACCGGGGCGCCCGAGGAAAAAGAGAATTCAGAATGAAATGGATCAAAGTGGAAGACCACCACGAGGCCCAAGACGGTGTTCAGTATGCAAAGTTCCAGGACATGATAAACGAAGGTGTCCAGGACCGATTGGCCCGCAAAATCCGGGTGATGATGTCCCGGAATCAGCTAATGCGACGTAATTTTCGATTATCATTCGTCAAGTAGTTTGTAACTCTTACGTTGCATTTAATTGTGTATTGTTGATTGAACGAATTTGGATCATATCAAGTCAAGAGGAATCATGATAATAACAATTTGATGAAAATCAACGAAATATGATTGATGGAATTAAAGGGAATAGTTCAAAGTACATAGAGATAAAAATCAACTCAAAATACATATCAAGGAAGTCCACGAGCGGATGCGGAACCCACAGTTTTCTTGCTCCTTGTACGCTTGCCGACGGGAGTAACAATGGGTGGTGGAGGTGGCAAGCGGGGAGCGGCCGAGGTAGTGTGGCGCTCGTCGGTGCTATGTCGGCGGGGAATCGGCACTTCCGGGGTCGAGCGGGCGACATCGGCGCTCATACGGTGAGGAGTGGGAGGTCACTGCTGATGAGGAGGTCGATTCCATGGGGTGAACTCGTGTTGGCCTGTGGTGGAGGAGCCATCATGAAAAGTCCCAGATGATGTTTGGCGGGGAGATAGCCGGGAATCAAAGTATGCTTCGCGGGGATCGAAGTATGCTCCGCGGGGATCGTTGTATGAGAGCGGGGTGGGAGATAATGGGGCTTGGTGGAAACTCTGAGAGGATTGATGGTAGGTCGAGCGGGGATCGTAGTATGAGCTCTGCCATTGATCGTTGTGGCCGGCATCTTGTGACCAAGTCGGGCGGGGAGATGGGGCGGAGGACGGGCGGGGAGCTTGGGTGGAACTCGGTCCGGCACCTTGGGTTGAACTTGGTCCGGCACCTTGGGTGACAACCAATGGGGGCGGCACACTCCACCCCCCAAATGGTTGTACCTCGGGCTCGATGGGCCTTTCCCGAACCCTCTTCGGCTGCTTTCTCTCGTAGGGTGGTGGGGGTGCGGGGACATCACGTTGTACCTCAGGTGGTGGGGGTGCGGCACGAGGTGGATATCTACGATGATCTCGGCGCTGAGCTCTGATACAGCCAAGTAGACCGTTTGCAATCCTCCTGATGTAGCCCACATCTTCATTGCCCAACTCATTTCTTCCGGTAGTAATATCTTTAACCCGCTCGACCCCATCAACCTAAATCACAAAAAACAAAAAAAGTTACAAAGAGATTTTAGGAACCAAGTAATAAATCATACTATACTTAGACTGGTTATACTTACTAATGCACCATCGGCCGCACCCTCCGGAGTCATGTAACGAACCGATGTTTGCCGATATCGATCCAAGTATGGGTCATGATACCCCATTCGGCCCACTTGATTTGGGGTGACAATATCCTGTAGTTGTCGGTTCTCCCAAATCGCGATGAATTCCTGCAACTTCGTCGGCCAATCGCGAGTACCTTGCCGACCATCTCGGCCATGGAAGGCCCTTTGACTTGCGGGGACCTCCAACGGAATGCACTGCTCCCGACCAAACTGACGGAGGCATCGATCCGGCAAGTGCCACTCCACTCCACCATTGGGCCGGTGCAAGCCATGGCATATGCTCCCAAGCCCAAAATTGGACGATGAACATTGCGCCGCCAACCTCCCTCACGGCTTTGTTCGACGCATTGCACAAGTTGTTGTAGATGATAGCTAGGCATGCAGATGCCCAACTATACTCCCCCATCTCCTCCCAACTACTGAAGATGATCCTAAGCCATCCACAACTAAGGAGATTGCTTGCTTTCTTGGAGAAGAACACTCCTCCAATCATGCCTATGAGATAGACACGAGCATATCTCTCCTTCTCATCCTCCGGACTTTCCTCCGTAAGCGGATGACTCTCGTAATGATCTCTAAAATACTTCGTCAACCAAGTAATTGAGACTTGGTGTTTCCTCAATGGTGGCATGCGATCGGTCGCATCAACGTGCCCCTTCACCGGTACTTTCACTCCCAAATGACTGTGGATGAAATGCTGCCAACCGGGCATACCGTCACAATCCTCGGGGGGATGATCACTCACGCACACCGGTTTGCCGTCGATGGGCAGATGGGTTAGGATGGCGACATCCTTTAGCGTGATGGTGGCCTCCCCTTCTCTAAAGTTGAAACAATGGGTCTCCTTTCTCCATCTCTCGGCTAATGCGGTGATGAGTTGACGATCGATTTGGATGCCGTTAAAATGCCTAATCGAGTCTAACCGTGCCCTTTTGAGAAATGGCAAGATAGCGGGGTGGAATGGGAGCACATTTGTGGTACCCCTGTAGCGGATTATTGTTTGTGACTCCTAGGAAAATTTTACACGTTAATTATTATTAGTAAGGGTTTTTTTTCGTATAACTAAATTAATTTAATTAAATTATGCAACATAAAACATAATTTTATTATCATAAAAAGACATTTCATATTATCATAAAACATTGTCAATGAATAATAATTTAAAGAGGTACATACATATTATCGTAAAACAAACATATTTAATTAATTAACATAAATAACATTGTTAATGAATAATAATTTAAGTAGAAACATACATATTCAAATGTTTGGTAAATAATTTAATCGTGTTGGTGGTTTTAAATAATTTAATCGAATACAAAGCAACACTCGTTAGACTCTTAGAAGAGGTATACATCTTCTTAGAAATGCAGTCTTTTTGACAGAAAAAGGGGGGATCCGAGGATCTCTTAATACCCGATTTTCCCAGGTAATGGGAGGATATGATAATCGCTTAAAACCCCATTTCCTTAGACGTGCATCTCTTTATAAAGAGTCGAAGTAAGTGGCGCTATGTATTCGATTAAATTATTGAAAACCACCAACACGATTAAAAAATAAACATAAATTTATTTTATATTACACTAGGCACATTAACAAAATAAAAGAAGGACAAATGGTGAAGAATTGTATGTACCGTGTGATCGTTCCAAACATCCCTTGACCGATGGTTGGGTTGGTCGTACAAGTCGGTTGGATCCACCGGTCCTTGCTCGAGATAATACCTTTGGTTGTATATATCGACGCCCTCCCCAACCTACGAGAAAATAACTAGGTTAGTACATAGATTAATTAAAAAACTTATAACAACAATAAAAATTAAACCAGAATGATGAGTACATACCGCTTGAAATTCATCGACGTAAACTCCTTCTCCTTGCCACCAATCGGCCATTTTTTCGGCGTAATTCGGACAGAGCTTCGGCTCGGCTCGGCGGGTTTTTGAGGAAAAAACCTAAGAAATATTTTCTGATGGCAGATCGGACTTAGCCGCAACCAACAGACTTTTATTTCCTAGGCTTTTGGGAGGGGAGGGTTTAGAGAGATTATATCTAGAGAGAGAAGGAGAATGGGTTGTGTGGAGTGAAGAAATGAGAGGGGGAGGGGGGGTATTTATACCCAACAGATCGCACCCCTCGGGGGCGGTAGGGTAATTTTACCCCGTAGAAATCGCATCCCCCCTGTGCGATATCCACGCCAAATCGCATTCCCCAGATGCGATCCCCGCGTCCCGATGCGTTGAACGCGCAGAAAACTGACGCTCCAATTCTCCAGGCGAGAAATCGCACCTCACCAGTGCGATCCACACTCAGTCGCGCGGATTGCTGACGTGGCTATGCTGCAGCCCGTCAGATCGCATCTTAATCGTGCGATCCAGAAGGTCGCTGGCGACCAAACTTGGAACGCATCTTGGGGATGCGTTTTACCATAGAAATCGCATCTTAGGGGTGCGATTTATGAAGGAAACGCATTCTAAGGCTGCGTTTCATTTATAAATCGCACCTCTAAGGTGCGATTCATTAAAATAGGTGCTAGTTTTGTAATTAGTTTTGGAAGAGTGCTAGTTTTGTAATTTTTTTTTTAAAGGTGCTATTTCTGGAAAAAACTCAGTAAAATACATCATGCATTCTCTATACCATGCATTATGTGATTAAAACACGTGAAAAAATGTTGTATTCTATAGAATACATGTATACCCAGAATACAACATTTAAATCGAAGGATCAAACCTGGCCAAGTGTAAAGTTACCACTCCATAGTTTCAACTTTCAACCACAAGACCAATCACATTCTTAGTCAGCAAGAAACGCAAAACTCCCCAACAACCATACACGTGTAGGGACAAGATCCAAACAAGTCGCGCTTTTCGAAAACGACAGAAATAAAGAAGATTAAAATAATCGAACCGGGCGGACCGATTGGTCAACAAATATCTACCCCCTCTTTTGAGATAATTATCTACCCCTCTCTTCAGGCTTGACTGTGTTGAGCTCATTCCAGACTTTACTCTCGCAGCTCTGCTCTCTCTCTCTTCGATCATCGCACACCAGTAAGTCACTTCATCCTCTGGTTCTCTTTCCCTTGCACGATTGCTTCTTCCGCTGGTTCTTCGTAGCCATTGATCGTTGCTGTTTGGACTGTGAGTAGAGTGATTCCCATGGTTTGACTTCCGATTTTTTTGACTGGTTGGTGAACTGCGCTCTCTCGCTCTCGCCCTGCCTACCTGTTTGTTTTGCTTGGAATTTGATGGAAAACTTAATTGGCTTGCATGTCTTTGAGCTTTGATCGCCGGTGTGCAGATTCCTTCCGTTAGCGTCTCGACGATTTGCTTTTGCGTATTTTTGGAAATTTTTGTAGACGCCGGTGACGTGGTTGTTTTTTGTCCGTCTCTTCTGATATTTCGTTTGTCAGTGTCTGTGCTTGGCTATGGATGTATCTGAAGATTATTTTGAGATTAGTCTGATTTATAGGTTTGGTTTAACAAGTTTGATTTACGAGTTACGACTTATATCGGTTCCCTTACAGTAAGTAGCAAGGATGGGAAGGTCGTTCAAGCCTGTCGCAGCTGCTCTTCTGCTCTGCCTCCTGCTGCCTTTGGCTTTTGCCGCGCCCAATGATGGGCTGGTCAGGGTTGGGATCAAGAAGAGAAAGCTCGATCAGAACAACCGTGTTGCTGCCCAGCTGGGGTCTAAAGAAGGGGACTTGTTGAGTGCTTCCGTCAGGAAGTACCGGTTTCGTGACAATTTGGGAGATAGCGAGGATGCCGACATCGTGATCCTGAAGAACTACATGGATGCTCAGTACTTTGGGGAGATTGGTATCGGCACTCCCGCACAGACTTTTACGGTGATATTCGACACGGGTAGTTCGAACCTGTGGGTGCCTTCTTCCAAGTGCTATTTCTCGGTGAGTGGAGTGGGGCCTTGGATGTGTTGCTTGCTGGCATATGCTTTCCATCTGTTATGGCCTGCGGTTTGATTTTGTTCTTATGTTTTGCAGCTTGCTTGCTATCTCCACCCCAGGTACAAGTCAAGTAAATCAAGCACCTACAAGGAGAATGGTTTGTCCTCTCATCTTTGTACTTTTGTCAAAAGTTTATTCGTGCTGCTGGGATTATGATAGTTTTGTGTCAAATTAATGTTTCGTCACCCCTGTTGCTGTTCGTTTCTGATTCTTTGTTACTCGCCACATATTTTGATTTTGGGGTTGGTATTCTTGTATTGTTTCATGCGTGATGCCAATCCCATAAGGTTCTGTATGGATCTGGTATGCTCCATTTCCAGGGAACAAATAAAATTTTTGGGGTCTATGCCATTCTAATCGAGTTATACTCCGCAGACGCTTCCATATAAAGTGCATTCTTTGACCTGGCTCTTCCCGCACTAGACCATGCCATATTACCATGTAGAAACATGCCATTGCTGATTCCTTTTCACTACTAGCTCAGCATTTACTTGTCACTGTTTCAGTGGGTATAGAAGGCTGCTCATATTTGTACTCGTGCAGGAAAATCTGCTGCTATCCAGTATGGAACTGGAGCTATTTCTGGCTTCTTCAGCGAGGATAATGTAAAAATTGGTGATATTGTTGTCATGGACGTGGTAAGTAATGTGTTGTATCTTTGCTTTGTTGAATGAATTGATAATAGTGATTTTAGATGTGTCCATGTGCTGATACGATTAGTTTGTTCCAGCAATTTATTGAAGCATCAAAGGAGCCAGGAATCACGTTCTTGGTGGCTAAATTTGATGGTATACTCGGGCTTGGGTTTCAGGAGATCTCTGTGGGAAATGCCGTCCCTGTGTGGTATGGCGGCTGTTTAACTAGATAGCTTTCGATTGAATTGGCAAAAGATCAGTTGATTATCCTGATTCTGGCTATCATTAATGAAATCTCACTTTTTCATATGCTTCAGGTATGACATGATTGAACAAGGACTCATCAATGAGCCGGTTTTCTCGTTCTGGCTTAACCGCAATGCCGAGGAGGAGCAAGGTGGTGAACTTGTTTTTGGTGGAGTGGATCCTAACCACTTTGTGGGTGAGCACACATATGTGCCTGTGACTGAGAAAGGTTATTGGCAGGTTCGTGGTTTAGGCGTCTCCTCAACTTCAAGTCTTATGTTCTACAACTTTAAGTAAAAAAGGCTTAATGTATGTCTATTTCTGTGTTGACAGTTTGATATGGGTGATGTTTTGGTTGGTGGAAAATCTACCGGTGAGCATACTTACATTCTTTTGTGGCTTGGTACTGAGCAGCTGTCTCATTTCTCTTCAATGTTTTAAGATTTTTTCATTTGTTCTTCAGGATTCTGTTCCGGTGGCTGTGCAGCCATTGCCGACTCTGGAACCTCTTTGTTAGCTGGACCAACGGTGTGTAGTAAACTCATAGTATTTGCAAAGTTTCAGCTTTTTTTTGTTGTTGTTATGTTTTGCCATTACTCTTCATGATATGTTGAATAGCCAGGCAGAAAACGTTTGCCAACATTTTCTGCGCGTGGTTGTGACATTAGAATATGGTATTGTTGTGCTAGTGCTTTATAACCATATGCATTTCAACTGCAGGCAATTATTACAGAAGTTAATCATGCCATTGGTGCTACTGGGGTAGTCAGCCAAGAATGCAAGCTTGTAGTTTCTGAATATGGAGAAACTATAATCCGTATGCTTTTAGCAAGGGTACTTTTTCTCCCTGTGATCTGTCAGTGGACAAGTTTTGAATTATACCTGGTAGGTCTTGAATGAATGAATTAACACTATTTTTTTTATGGCAGGATGAACCTCTAAAGATCTGCTCTCAGATTGGTTTATGTGAGTTTGATGGATCACGAGGTGTTAGGTTAGTTTTAATGGCCTGCTTATTTTACCATGTTGTTTGAGGATTTGTTTGTTTAGAACTTAGGCAGCTAACATTAGTCTTCACTTAATTTGTCTGTTTCAACTCTCGCAGCATGGGTATTCGGAGTGTTGTGAATGAGAACATTGAGAAAGCAGTTCATGCTACCAGTGAGGCAATGTGCAGTGCTTGTGAGCTGGCAGTTGTATGGATGCAGAACACGCTTAAGCAGAATGAAACACAGGAACAGATACTCAACTATGCAAATGATGTAAGATAATTGAAGTTCATCTTGTTATTCTTTCCTGGTCAGCCCCTTAAAGTACAGTACATAGGTGTCAGCATTGAGCTTACGCATCTCGTTATCTGGGTTTTTCCCGCCTTTCTGCAGCTCTGCGATCGAATCCCAAGCCCAATGGGTGAATCAGTAGTTGAGTGTGCCGGCTTGTCTACCATGCCTAATGTTTCATTTACTATTGGTGGAAAGGTCTTTGAACTTACTCCGGAGGAGGTAATTCTTTTTCTGTGCTTTGGTTTGGTGATGATTGCATCTATGTACCCCCCAAGTTTCTTAACGGTTTACTGTTTGATCTTTGTGACTGCTGAATCTGTTCTTTCTTTTGTTTCGCTTCGGCCATGATCAGTATGTCCTCAAAGTTGGTGAGGGGCCTGCTGCTCAGTGCATTAGCGGATTTACAGCACTCGATGTCCCGCCACCACGTGGCCCTCTCTGGTAAGCTTCTTTCTACCTTCCCATCATGGTTGCCTTAAGTCTTATGAAGAGTTCCACTGTACTGGTTCAGTAATGTTAACCCTCCAAACTCGCTCCGGTCGTTCTCGGCATAACTCGTTTGTCTTGGCCGTTGCAGGATCCTGGGTGATGTGTTCATGGGCCGTTACCACACCGTGTTTGACTACGGCAACCTCAGAATTGGGTTTGCAGAAGCCGCGTAGTTGGACTGTTTCTCTAATGTTCTGCTGGTTCAGCTCCGGTGCCGGCGTGGTATCTTTTATTATTCTCTCCTGATGTGGTGACACACTGTATCAGTATAACTTTCCCTGTGAGTGCCACATGCTTGTATATAGTTGTGTCTCGCCGGAAGTCTGAGAAGTATGTTTGTTGTGGAACTGCAATATGCAGGACTGTGTAACGCCTTGAACACAGACTAAAATGTTGTTGTGCACTCTCGTAAGGTATTATTTTGGGAGAGCGAATGGTATACTATGCACACAAATTTGGCGAGGCCTATCTTCTTGCCTGTTATTTATGTGATGTAAATGCAACTAGTTGAGTAAGTGGTCGTTTGGAAGTTGAGAATGTTAAATCGTTGCATTGTAATGAATCACCATAATATAAATGCATGTATTGATACAATATATGCATTTTAACAATACATTGTTTGGTTGTTGAGATTCTACTTAATGCATTGATTTACATAAAGTTACTTTTATGGGTGAAATGTCACATTTACCCTCAACTTTTAGAATAAGACAAAAACTATTGGGGATATAAATGGAAAGAAAAAGTTGACACAAATCTAAAACCAACAATCACAACAATCTCAACTAAAAGTTGAGATTGTATAATGCATCATTTTTTTATGATTGTTGGTGGGACCTACCTAAAACAATGCATGCATTGTTTAACACTATGACACTTCCAAACATTGTATTGTGCACAATACATTATTCAACAAACATAACTCTAACAATCACAACTTCCAAACGACCCCTTAAGTAGGGATTTATGCAACGTCTCTCAAGTTTAATAATCAGGTTTGAGGCGTGCTTTACTGCTTTGTGATTACGCGTCAGGTTTGCTTCATGGATTGGAAAATGAGAGTTCTGGCACAATTTGTATTTTGGTAAAATTTGTATTTTGAAAAATCATAGATTTATGATGGAGTTATTGCCCTTATAGATATAAAGAAGTGCCATGTTTGCTTATTAGATTTTGTTATGGATTTTACTTATTATATATGTTAGTATATGATGGATTGTCAGCTTTCGTTCAAATCTCATCTTGAAATTCATTTGTTTCCCACATCAAGGAGATCAAGGAGATTAATGCACAAGCATATAGACAAGATAGCATACCTACCCCTAAAAGGTTGGAAAAATGACACCCTATTAATTATAAGTTTTTAAGATAATTAATTTGGGTTGCATTTATTAATATGTATGAATTAGAAACACATATTAATTACTTTCCTTGTTTTAGTGCACTGGTAGTTGTATCAGTGCAATAATATTAGTGTACAGGTGCAATGATAGATGTATCAGTTCAATAGTAGTTCAAAAAAATTAACGTAATTAATATGAGTTCAATATACAGGTGCAATGGTAGTTAAAAAAAGGAATGTAATTAAGATGGATTTTCAATTTCCAAAGATTATTAAATGCAACACGAATTTAATACAAAAAATAACTATAATTAATAGGGGTGTCATATTTCCAACCCCTTAGAAGGGTTAGCATGCTAACCGATCCCACAAGCATATACTCATTATGTCATTATCTCCTGCTTCTTGGATTTATCATTTCGCTTTACAATTTGCATAAGAAACCATCTGTTTAAATATAACATTTGTTTTATAAAAAATATCAAAATTTGATAATATAGATTATTTTCTAAATGCATTATTTGTATTTCGATGAGTCATTCGTATAATGTTATCATTTTGTCATTACATTTAATATATTACGGTTATCTTCTTTCCATCTTAATTAAACTAACCACGTAAACAATATCATTTTGTACCCAACAGAACCTATTAATTTGGACCCCCTTTTTTTGCTTTCCTTCACTTACATATTCTTCCAAATACCCAGTAACATATATATGTTATAAATAACCAAAACATCTTGGTAGAAGCCTACAGCTGCATCTTATTATTCTACTGGTTTCCCTCAGATTTCTCTTGCTTCAGACAAAAGAATACTTCGATCCCAAACCAAGTAAATGCCTGTCCATGTGGAGTTTGTATAAGTTATGCAGGTAGGAATATTCGACAAACAAAAGGTTTAAGCTGTTGTTTTTGTGTATATAGTTTTCTTCCCCTCCAGCTTTGTTTCTTTATCGAAGAGCATTTATAGTGAGAGTTGGCAACCTCTGGTTAACTTGGGGGAAGTTGGTTTGATAGAGAGAAAACAATTGGGGAGAAAGAAACTATGGAAATATGGAGACAGTATATTACTCTGCCATGTTACTCTGTTTCCATCTGTGTTCTCTCTGTTTCTCATCAACTTGTTAAACATTAAAATCCCCCATCTCTATTGCTGTATATGATTACAACAATTTTATGTTTTATTTTTTAACTATTAGCAGTTTTGGATTCAGTTTGATCTACAACGTGTTTTCATGTTTCGAAAAGTATCTAAAACACATTCATTATCCAAACTATCAAGAATGACACTCTCAATATATCCGACCTAAATAAATAAAAATTCTTTCATGATTTGATCGCGACGGATAGCAACATTACCAATTTCAGAAGTAGATGAGATCAATTCTAACTCTCGGCAAACCATATCAAATAATGTGATTTAGCTTATATATTAACGGTAAGGGTAATGACTGGTATACTCCAGAAGTATATCATACTCCATGTGATATGACCGTTAGAATAATGTGTGGATATTCCATCACTCAGGAGCTGATAGATAATGTGTGGATCAAATTCATAAACAAATAGGCAATTATAAGTTAATGAATTAGTTAAGTAATCTTGCCTGCAAAACCTAGCTATATGGTTAGAAATTACAATAGTAAATCAAGGAAGTAGTAGTCATTGATAAATTCGCCTGGTTATGCAGTGGACTACTTTGTTTTTCTCTAATGAGTCTGGTTAAAAGGATAAAAAAAAACATTTAACGATCAATTCCCTCAACAATTTTCAAGAAGTTAACTAATCTTAATTAGTGAACTGCAAAAGGTAACTAATTAGCAATCAGACAGAGTGCTAGTGGATAACCATGGATTCAAGCTCAGTTAAAAAACTGATAAGATTTTAATTAATATCGTCGTAATTAAGGACAAAAAGACAAAGTAATTAGCACTACCCGTACGTACTTGAAGCTGCACTTTTAATTTATCCCAAGCTGTGATTATATCTAGGTTGCCCAGAGCTAGGAATTAGCTAAAGGAATAACACACTTCAAACAAGGCTCATAATGAAGCCAAAATGAGAATTTCGAACTAAAGATGTTCTCCAAGTCATAATTAATTCAACCAACATTCCAAATGATGATCACTAATTGCACTTTCTATTCAAAATCTTGAGCATCTGAGAGGAAATTGTTTATCTTAGCCGGAGTAAGGAGTCGCGGCTCGGGCTGATGAGATCTGTGGTGTGAGGACGGCGGATGAGAGCTAGATCGAGAGATCGAAGAAGATGAAGGTCGACAAGTTTATAAACGTGTAAAAAGGAAAAGATTAAGTAAGGTGCTCGATGGATCCACGAATCTGATTCATTTGCCTTCTCTAGTGGGCATGATTGTCACTATGCAAATCAAACCTACCCAATTATACATATGCATATGTATTTTGTTTAACAATGATCATTATATTTTTGGGACGAAGGCGAGACCAAACCACCTTTGGCAGTCTTCGGCTTGCAAGATCTCAAAAAGTTATGCGGAATCAAAAAAAAAATCGCGCCGATCGGATACCCGAACATAAAGATACGTCCGTTTGAAGTTTCCACCTAAATTAGGATTTTTCAAAAAAAAAAAAAAAAAAGCAGATCGCACCCTGGGGGTGCGGTTTGCAAAACCGCTCCCTACCAGTGCGGTTTTCATCGAAAAACGCGCCCTTGGGTGGCGTTTTCATCGAAAAATGCACCTCCGGGTTGCGGTTTTAGAAAAATGGTGCTATTTTTGGAATTTTTCGGAATTGGGTGCTATTTTTGGATTTTTTTTTTAAACAGTGCTATTTCTGGAAAAATCTCTGATCTACCTTACTGGAAGAGTACAACATGTGTCGGTGAAGCATCAGAAAGCTCGGATTACCATTTTCGATATGCTTGTTTAGGGCCATACATGGTCTCATGTAACTTGCAAACATGATTAGGGATATGAGAAGGAGGCACCAGACCTTGTCGCAGTTGCGTATAAACGTCCCCATGTAAATCATCATGAAGAAACGCATTGTTGATGTGATAGTTCATGATAGAAGCAAGAACACCAAAATAAAGTCAGACAGGTGGTTATCTCGATCACATTAGCAAAAATATCCTAATAGTCAACTGCAAAATCTTATATTACAAACTTTAATTTATTAGTAAGTACACTGCACATCTTATGGGGTGTGAAATTGCATTGCTTAATTAGTTTAGGATGCTATATATGCCATCAAAAGCTAGCTTTTTAAAACTACCATAAGATACTTTTTGTTGTGCCCATATACATTATATAAGGAGTCGTCGTCACCAAGAAGAAAACCTACTTAGTTTTTTTTTTTTTTTTTTTGTCTGTTGGAGTAATTCCAAAGTAAGTAAATTACCCAAGTTCACACTTATGAGTTTTGTTGTTGCTAATCGTTGCTAGGCTAAACACGTATTTATCTGTATTCATAGTAAAATATTAAGTTTATCTAGGTTCCCAAACAAGAGAGCATGTTTCTCAATTAGTTTCTCCACGCGACCAATTAAAAGAAGAAAACAAAGCGATAGTTATTTCTTTGTCTTTTTTTGGTTATGCATCATGGCCCCTTGATGAGAATTTCATGTCCTTACCACATCTCTAATCTCTCACGTAATAATATTCGGTGATTTAGACTTAAAAAATCTAGTACCATTAGACTTCAGGTTGAATTACATTAATCGTTATAATTGAGTTGATATTATAAATGTACTAATTTACTTATAAATAATCAATGTAGTATAAACTAATTTTTATGAGTAAACAATCTTTCTTTACCCACAAATAAAAGGTTAATTTTCGGGATTTTTTTTTGCATTTGATATATGATTGATATTTTTCCATTCATAACAAATTTAGCTTTTTTTATTATCGACCTTAGTATCCGTGTACATCGAAAATTCCGACTTCGTTCATTTGTTATTTACAAGTAGTCAAATGAGTTTAAAAGGGCAAAGCTAACATAAGTTCATAACAAAACTATCCATGCTCGCAGACACCCACCCACCAACCTGAATCTCACCTAATCAAGCAGGATAAAATCCAAATCCTCGCGTTTGAATACAATGAATGAAGAATGAGCATAATTATTTTCTCACTGCGTAACTCGAACCCACTTGATTACTTAATCGTTCTCGTAGCATGAATGTCGAATTAGAAACGGATAATGTGAATGGGAACATATGCCCGTGGGAGTGTGGTTTCAATGTCATAGGCAACTATATGGATATTAGTTTGGCAGCTTGCCTTGTAGTGTGGATAAGAAGAAGAAAAAAAAAACTTTGGTAGATTTCTCTTGTGAGGGAGTGACGTTGCCAACAAGGCCACAACGGGGAGGTGGAGAGTCATAAACACCAAATTAATTGTGTAATAATATAATATTATCTTAAAACATCTACCTATAATCTTCATTGATCCATGTTTAAACAAAAAAAACTATATTACAAACAAAATGTCAAGTCACCATATGTAAATGCAACATTTAACGTCGACGTCCGAATATTTGTACTTGAATTATAATATCAACATCCGAATGTTCATAATTGAACCAGATAATTATTTCATTTTTGTTGGTTAATTCCACCAGAACAACGTCATTTTGTTTAAGGACTTCAAATCGACTGTTTCGGTCGATCACTCTTTTCTCAATGTCCGTAACCGTGGATATCTGCCGGAATCCGGCCTAATCGGTTAGGGTAAAATCCGAACCCGAAGGACTTTTAGTGGGTACGGGTAAAACCCGAACCTGAATATTACAAGTAACAGGTGGGCATGGTTTTCTCATTATCCAACCTGAATCTGCCCGATTATACACATACATATGTATTTTGTCTAGAAATAATCAATATTTTTATGAAATTGTGTTGTTTTAATTAATTTTCTTCATTCTAGTGGATTGTTGTCGTACTTTTCATCTTATGAGCATGATTTGGATTTCTTACCCGTTTCTTTATGTGGGTATGGTTAAAATCTGAACTATTTTGAATAGGGTAACAGATATGCACTATCCGTCTCCGACCCGACCCGACCCATTGCCATCCCTAATTTTGACTACCGCCTCATACCGATAATCTTCCAGTCGGTTTTGTCCAATACTGATTGTATCAACTGACATACTAGTGGTTTGAAAACCATTGCATGTGTATGGTTACAGGCCATTCCTTCATTCAGCCGGCCGGCAAGGCAACCACATTGGTGAAAAGGGCACGTTGATATTATTATATTAATGACCATTTTCTTCGATTTACTACCGGTTTCCTCAACCATAAAGAGGATAGGATATATACCGGTGAATTAAACAGCTGGAATGGGGTTATTCACGGCCGACAATGGACCAATTCATGGCTGGAAATGAAGCAAATATAACATGCACTCTGCATTCAGAACATGCACTCATTCACTTTTCAATTACTTTGTTCTCTTATTTTATTTTATTTTACTCTAGATAAATGATTCGAGCTTTTTCATTTTGTGGCACGAAAGACCTTTCTTTGTCTCCGTCGTGTCGTTTTCTTTTTCCTGGATTGATTTCCAGGATGTAATCATCGATCTTTCAATTAATCAATGTGATTATCTTTTGTTGCAAAAAAAAAAAAAAAAAAATTCATTCCAGCTTCGAGTATGGAGTCAGCCATGGGGTTGGATGTATCATAAACCAGTTGGTCCCAATAACTCGAGTTGTTGGGAGAAGGTTCTGCTGGATCTTATACCACTCTCTAACACGCCCCCTCAATGAGGGCCAACTCATGGGCTTGAAGTTTGCATAGGCCCACCATACCATGTGCTTTAATCAACTGTTAATATTGGGGGGTCGTGGAGATTCGAACACACGATCACTTGGTCAAACCAGCTCTGATACCATATCATAAACCAGTTGGTCCCAAAAACTCGAGTTGTTGGGAGGAAGTTTCTGCTGTATCTTATACCACTCTCTAACAGGATGGAACTAAATGTTTTCACGTTTCGATGTGTTGACGGGCAGGAGATGGAGGTACCAGCATCGGGCCTACCCATAGACATGCTAAGCAGCGGGGGCCGAAGATGAGATGCTAGTAATTCAATTGGAAAGTTAATTCGCGAATAGAATACGATACTCGATTTAGTAATAATGCCACTAATTTTGAACTTGAGGATCTTATATTCGAAAGGCGGAAAAAAATTCAGTAATCCAAATTAAGGCCGGAAAACAAATCAAGCAAGCAAAGCAAGCGCGAGGAGTATAGTACACTATAATTTGATTTTGACGATGATGATGATGATTAATGATTGGCCGGCCGATTTGATTTCCACCGCCGCCGCAAACTTCATCCCTAAACACCGGATATTCCTTCCCCCTTTCCCTTCAAAAATTCAAAAACACTAATCAATCCCTTAATCGCCCAATCAAAAGCAAATGAAATAAAGCAAAGCTCAAGAGAGACCTCACTAATCACGCCACCTAAGCACATGCCCTCATGTGCCCACTCAGAAAATCCCCCCATCTCCCCCAATACCAGCTCTTCTTTAATCTTAATTATTCCACTAACTTCTAGATTATTACATAAGTACCAACGTTATCAACCTAGTTTCAACAGTTGGTCTGGTCGATGAATTGGGATTAAGGGTTAATGTCTAATTTGGTTTAACCAGAATATGTGGAAAAACCTAGCTATTATATTCTCCATTACTTCGATTCTCAATAGTTTCTCTCTCTCAATACATTTAAAGTCAATGTATAACATTAACATACAAATATTCATACTTAAGACTTCAAATATTAAAATCAAATTAGTCTATCTTTAGAGATAAAAACATCCATCTACATTACATCTAAAATTTTGAAATATTTCATCAATCACATCATATATTCAAAATAATTTCCTTAAACTTCATGCAATGGTGTAGCCAATTGATACAAATTAATGTGTAGTGTAGTTGTGAGGTTGTTGATTTATGAGCTTGAGATTCTTGTTTCAATACCTCAAAAGACTCATCTAAATTTTTTGATTTCCTTTTAAATGCAAACCCCTCAAAATACTCATCTAAATTTTTTGATTTCCTTTTAAATGCAAACCAAGGGACCGATCTGTCGGTTAAATCGTCCAAGTTCTCTGAGTTTGATGGGCAGGGTCGAATTGGTTAGAGTGACGGACATAAAATCATGATTCGAACCACCCGTATCTATTGTTGATAATAAGGTTTGGGCGTTTGGTAACATTCTTTGAGCGTGTGAAACCCGCTTTACTAGATTGGCGCGGGTTTTTAATTGTACAACCCTTAGAACCCAACCCAACCCATGTTACAATTATTTTCCAAAGACTTGGTATCTACTAACATGTTTGTATCATATATAAGCATATTTGTGAGGAAGCTAAACAATGGCATCATTTTTTCCCCCTTAGTGTGATAGGAAAAGTTTTTTACTTAAAAGTATAGTTAACCCGACACAACTCGATATTACAAAAATCATTAAAGTTCTAAATTAATTTGGATAAATTTGAGTTTAATATTTTCAAAATCGTGATATATAAGTCTGGCATTCAAAATGACAAAACCGAACCAACTAACATTGTCACCACTACACAGGCGCTATATATGATGCATCAATGAATCTACGGGGTCGGGGTTTGCCGTCGCAAGACGGATTTCTCCTCCTATAAAAAAAAATGCTCTTTGAAAGTTAATAAATACAGCGTGTCAAATCTCAAAAATTCCAGAACTACCACATTCATTCAATCCTTTTGCTGTCGTTGGAATTAAACCACCGCCCGCCGGGCTGGCAGGCCAACCCAATTGGCCGGCGTCGCATCCCCCCCTTCTTCTCCTCCCTCCACGTGGCTTCTTCTTCCCCAACTTTCCAGGAGAAACCCAACAAATCACAAGACAAGTCAACTGCCTATATATACCCAATCCCTCTTCTTCTCTTCATACAAACTCTGCTCTGTTTCTTCCCCATCTTCCTTTCCTTCTTCAAAAAAAATTCTCTCCACCATCAATTGCTACCCATGGAGTGGTCTCGAGGACCCGTAATCGGCCGGGGATCCACCGCCACCGTCTCCCTCGCCACCTCCACCGCCTCCGGCCACCTCCTCGCTCTCAAATCCGCCGACCTCTCCCGGTCTCTGTTTCTGCAGAGGGAGCAGAGCATCCTCTCCAACCTCAGCTCCCCTTACATTGTCAAGTACGTCGGATCCGGAGTCTCCCACGAGGACGGCGGCACGCCTACCTACAACCTCTGTATGGAGTACGCCGCCGGCGGGACCCTGCGAGATGAAATTCGCCGGCGGGGAGGTCGGATGGGAGAGGGTGAAATCGGCGCGGTGGCTCGCCGGGTTCTTAAAGGGTTGGAGTACTTGCACGGGGAAGGTTTGGCGCATTGCGACATCAAGCCGCAGAACGTGCTGGTGGATGAGGCGGCGGGGGGAGCTGTAATTGGGGATTTCGGGTGCGCGAAGTTTGTTGTTGAAGGTGGGTCTGAGGTGGTGGGATTTTCCGGTACGCCGGCGTTTATGGCGCCGGAGGTGGCGAGGGGGGAGGAGCAGGGGTTTGCGGCGGATGTTTGGGCGGTGGGTTGTACTGTGATTGAGATGGCTACGGGGAGGAACCCGTGGGCGGAGCTGGGAGGAGAAGACGACCCTGTTTCTGCTCTGTACCGAATTGGGTTTTCCGGCGAGATTCCGGCGGTTCCGAGCTGGTTGTCCGAGGAAGCGTCGGATTTCGTCGGGAAGTGTTTGGTGAGGGATCCGAGGGAGCGGTGGAGTGCTAGGGGGCTGCTGGATCACCCGTTCCTCCACGAATCGGAATCGATTGATGGATTCAAGGAGGAGGCAGGGGAGAGGTCGCCGAGCTGCGTGCTGGATCAGGGGTTTTGGGATTCGCTGGACGACGGCGGATTGGATAGCTCAGAGGATTTGACCGTTGATGAAGCCTTCGGATCGAGAATTCCACCCGGTGATAGGATCAAGAGCTTAATTACATCAGCATCGAAATTTTCGGACTGGAGTTCTGAAGAAGAGGGTTGGATCACAGTAAGAAGTAACGAGTCCGTGGAAAAAGATGGCATGTTGGTGGACAGCGAATCATCTTCTGTGGAACAAGACGCAGCATCTCCGTTCTGGGATTCTACGATTCTTGATTTGGATCAGGAGGATGAGAAGGAGGAGCTTGGATGGTCGGATGCAGATGTAGAGTCGCCGGCGGCGGGATTAGAATTTGACTCCGTTGATAACGTTATTGTTACCATTAGTAGTAGTGGAGATGTTAATTGTGTAGTTAAAACCCAAGTTGATGAAAATAGCAACATTAATGATAATTCAGATTCTTCAACACCAAAATCCTTGGTTGCTCCTCGATCATTCCCTGCATCATATTCCTTTTTTCCCGAACGTACAAAATCAAAGCTCAACAGTTGCAAAAACAGGGCAAACCCAATAGCCCAATCTTTGGCGTATTGCTCTGTTTTGGTCGAAACAGAGGGATCCCATTATCATGTCACTTTGAAACACCAGCCATAGTAGACTAACAACAATCTTCAACAGATTTTTTTGAGCAAAACTCAGATATTTTGATGCAACTTTGCCTTTAGGTTACCCACTTACTAGAATGGACTTCATTTGGTATGTCACACAACCACTTCGAAAATAAAAAGTCAGATTCAGTAATATTTTTTTACCCACATAATCGATCGATATAAAGTTAGGATCTTTTCCTGTTACTTCATGAACAGACTAATTCACAGCCCCAAAAATCACATAGAACACGGCCAAGAGTCATAACCAAGTGCGAACAGTGTGGACTGTAATGGAGTCTCTCATTGGATGTGGCCGATGTTCTATGTGATACCGATATTTGGTATTGGGATACCGATACTGTACCGATTTCCACCCCTAGATGTGGGAATGGATAGTTAGTAGTTACTGATGATAAGGTTTCTTCAATTGAAAAAAAAAAACAATTGGGAAGTTCAATTCATGTCTGTCTGTCTGTCACCAGTAATATTGAAGCACCAACCACTCTCTCCCATTCTTCACCCTCGGGCTGCTTGCTAGGCTGTACAGTTGCGGGAGGAACTTTCTGTTCACTAACTACTCTGTTTCCTGGCTTACTTCCTTTCCCTTTTCATTATTGTTATCCTCCCCAACTTCTCTTCTATGGGAAAATTCCAAAGTTTGTTGCATAAGAACAGGCTGATTCTTATTTTTTCCAATTGTGTTCATGACCATATGTTGAGATGCTTTGCACTTGTTTATTTGTGCTATACTGGTGGTATTAGTAAGGGGGGATTGGCCGATTAGGGGGCGAAGCCCTCGGTTTGGGGGCGGTTGGAGTGCAGTGCGCGCCTAGCCAGATAATGTATGAGTTTCGTTCAAATTGTTTTTTTTTTTTTATCTTCGTTCGTTCTTTTTATGGTTAAATAAAGGATTGTATGCAAAATTTTCAAACTCTTTGTATTTTGTAGCATGTGTACTCGCTTATAAAACAAGTCAGATTTGTTCTCTCGTGTCTGTAAACTAGCTAGCAAATTTTGTGTTAGTGATAGTGTGAACCACATAAGTTTCATGTGCATTTACGTTCGATACTTTGTTGGTTGGTTGCTCCGTTGCAGCACCTTATTCGGACCGTTTCAGCTCATCGCTTGACAATAGTCTTAGTGGGTGAGGTTTCACTGCTAACAAACTTATTCCCCGACAAAATAGTTGCATTCGCACCGTCAGATGTGCTCGACACCTCTAATATTTTTTAGAGTAATTGGATTGTGAAGTTTATTTTTCAATTATCAAGAACAGTAATTTTACATGAATTGTGAAGGATCTCGTTAGCGTTTCAGAAATGAGGACACATCCTACAATGTGAATTGTGTCTGGACGTACGATTCAACCATGATGTACACGACTCATAAATATTATATATCAATGGAGTATCTAGTGGAGTTAGCTTTTGATTGCTATTGGGGACACACTCGGGAAGCATTTGTATGTTGTTGTAGTAGTCATCCCTCCCAAATGATGAAGTTGTTTGAATCTTTAACGGTACTAATTCAAATATTTAAAGTAGTTATAAAGTTAAACCAGATCATGATCAATGAAGGGCCATAAAACTGTGGGGGGGAAAAACCCCAAAAAAGTTCTTGCAGTACTAATTAATAATAATAAAGTAATAAAATTCGAGATCGTAAGAAAGCTAAATAAAATTTTGATTTTTTGACATCTTCTCGTAATTCAAGTTATTCATACTAATTGGTTGTTCGCACTTCGCATGATCCGTGTATTACATCAACCTTTAGTTCTTGTAGAGATTAATCCATCCGAAAATCAATATATATCAATTATTTGATTAATCGAAAAAGTAGTGTTGCTAATCTACAACGCATTATCGGCTATACGCCAACTGGGAATACCATTAGTGATTAAAATACTGATTAGGGACAATGTTCCTGCCCCTAAACTAAACTTGCACACAACTTTTTTTTTTTCTTTTTTTTTTTTACTTTCTAGGGAAGATATAACTATAAGTCACCTTCAATCATGCCATGCGCCTTTCCTCCAGGAATTGTATTTTAAGGGCTTTGGCAGCACACGTCTTCCTCCAATGAACCTAAACCCTCATTAACAAAAGAAAAGGGGGAAAAAAAACAGAGAACCAAGAAATCCTTTAGGTCAAGGCAGAAAAAAAGGTTATCCCCAAAGAACTCATCTTTAGTGCAGTTGTAACTAGAACACTTCTACTATGCTATATAGCATCGATGCTATAATGTACAATTTAAAGTTGTACCATAGCATTACATGTATAAGTTTAGGTTGTACCATGAAGAAATTTGTATCATTATGTTATGGTACAATTAAGGTTGTCAACCCGCAGGTTGACCCGGACACGGTCGAGCTAGTGGGTGAAGGGTTAATGGGTCACACGTTTTAGCCCGGTTTAGCCCGGAGATATGGAAGAAGTCATTATATTGTACTTATCCTGATAAATTATATCAAATATCATCTAACATATGAATTATAACATATAATATTCCACCAAAATAACATGTCGTACTTAGATCCAACATATAGTGGAAAATTCACACACACTTAAATAACATTAATATTCAAATGTTCAACTTATAATTCCAAAGATTGAGTTAGGTGAAAAGAAAAATCGGAAAATAGGCGCATTTCGATAATCAAAGAAAAAAATGACAGAATTTGACCTCTAACCCGGTACCTTGTAGCGGTCGACCCGACGGGTGCATGTGGCCCGTTTTTCTCACCGAGTCAGGGTCAAAGTGGGTCAATCGGCGGGCCGACCCGCGGGTTGATAACCTTGGGTACAACTTTACAACTTGAAGTTGTACCATCAAATAAAAGTACAAATTCAAGTTGTACCATAAAAGAATTTGTACAAAATGTATAGGTACAATCTGAAGTTGTACCATAACGTTAAAGGTACAATTTTAAGTTGTACCATAAAGAGAGAAAAAAAAAACTATTGCACCAATACTATATAGCATTATAAAATTCCTCTCGTAAGTATCATCTACTCTGACTAACACTTCATTTAGGCGACAGAATAGCTTTTTATACCTGATATAAGATTCATTATTGAAACATCTCTCAACAATTAGAGTAATTTTGATCGAATGAATTCTCGGTATGGTATTGAAAATTTTCGATCACCAAAAGGTGTTAGAGTCTAATATCCCTCTTTTGACTTGGATTGCATGCCTCTCTTCTTCAAATGGGTTTCTTTCATTAAAAGAATGCGGGGAGTCAACCAATATATATAATCAAACGTACAAAAACAAAACCACACCTTTACGAAGCCTGCGAAATGAGATCATGACCTGTTCTTTTTTTTTTTTTTTTTTTTTTTGACGCGAAGAAGGTTTGGTTGGAGCAATTAGCAGTACAAGAGAATGCATGCACAACAAAAAGATGAGAGCTGTCGTGACAAAGGCAAATTAAGAAGAAGAAACTGCAGAGGCAGGACGCAGGAGCTCTTCCTTTTTTTTAATTAGCATGCGCGCGTTTTGGACCTTTGCTTTTTGGACGACTCCTTGGCTTTTTACAGTGCTCCTTAATTAAACATGTTCTTCATCACCTAACCAATGGGTGATTCAGTTTTATTGGAGTATTTTTTTTTTCAAACCTTTAATTTGGAGCTAATTATCATTCAAAATGACACATGTCACAGTTACTTGTTATTTGTTCTATGGTATTAGTACGAAATATTATGTTTAGATGGATTATAAGTAGTGGTGTGGTTGATGTACACTTAAATAGGTTGTTTTACCGATTTGTGCTTTTTAAAATTCATCTCTTTCTCGCTTGGTCAACGTGTGTACATGTTTGGTCAACATCAAATAAACGTCAAAAGAAATAGTAAAACTGAACAATAATACTGGAACGAAAGTTTTAGAAACCCATTTAGTGTGTACATGTGTATTCTACGGGCAAAAAAAAAGGGGGGTAGTTTGGGAGTTAAAAAAAATTATGATGACATAATTGAAAAACAAAAAGGAAAGAGAATAGCTTGTTGTTTGGAGAATACAACTGTAGGGGTGTTCAAATGGTTACCGTGATAATAACCTAAACAAACCAATTAAGCCTAAATTTCATTAACCATGGAATAAAATGTTTTAACCAAACCGTCCAATTTAACACGAAAACCAAATTAACCAAACCAAAGTTTAATTGGTTTGGATAATCGGATAAACCAAATAACATAACATTACATGAAAACAATTATCCTGTTAATTAATAAAAAATAATCATATGTTATTAATATCATAAACTATCATTATATATAAGCAATAATAATAAGACTAACCATCCATGATTATCATCATCATTCATCATCTCTGCACTTAATATAGTTAGCTTACAACAAACCTTTAACATAAATATTAAATACATACCAATACCACTCATCGGGAAGTTAAAGCTCTCCTACATAACACTTAAACTATACATAGTTTGAGATGAGTCAGATGACTATCATGGTATTGTACGTAATCCTAAAGTCTAATAGTTGTCCAAAATATTTTGGTTAGTAAATAGGCAAACCCATTTAATTTTTGACCCATAATGTTTTGGTTTGTTGTGCACATGGAAATAAAATAGAGAATCACGAAAGTTTGGTTGGTTGCATGGAAGTATAAATAATTTTGTATATTAGGTGTATCATTAATTGGTTAATTGGTTTCATTGGTTAGCAATGTTGAAACCAAACCAAACCACCTAAACCAAATAAGCTAAATTATATTGTTTAACCAAACCAAACCAATTATCCAAATTAACCAAACCAAATTAAACGAATGCTACCGGTTAATACGGTTACCACGGTAACCAATCCGTTTGAACACCCCTAAATACGAGCACCTCCCTGAGTATCTGCCAAATAACTATTTTGTGGTCTTTGGAAAATAATATGTGCATCTTTTTCCCCCCAAACCAAACGTCCTATTTTTTACCAAATATCACATCAAAATTACTTGATCCAAACGACCTTAAGAACTTTCTCATTCATGATATAGGACCGATTTGTAAGTTTCTCGGGACTGAAAATATCTTCTCAGGAGTGACTCAAACACATTTCTTCTTTGATAGGATGTTCGATATGCTCAAAGAATTCCATCGAGTTTCGTCAACCAATATTTGCGAATCGATTCACAGTTTTTTTGTAATGTTTGCTTCAGCTCTATATATGCGAGCTCGACTTGTCCACTAGTCTGAGGATGATAGAGGTGAAATATGGTGCATTTCCCTCCATCTATACATGTACTGCACAACTGGGCTGTTCATGAGGGTTGGTTCGGGCCACCTCAATTGACTCTGGGCCGTCCCGTTTGGTCCAAGTCTGATTTGTCTTGATTCTGACTTCAGAGGTCTGTATCACCCAGAAAGCTTTGTGGAACTTTCTGTTGGATTGTGACGGCTAGGCCCACCTTAAAATCTTCTGGGCCGGCCCGAGATGGAGTCCATCTTTTTTCATTTAATTCGTGTTTATGTCCACATGGTCCAATTTTACATTCCTCCATTCTTCTTTTTTATCCAGCTTGGCAGCTTAGGCATCCCCAATAAACGACGTCGTTTTCTCTGCCTGAAAACCCGAACGCTTTCTGAAACTGCAACTAATTTCGAAGGAAAGCAGTCTGCGCGCTCTGTTCAGTTTCCATGGCGGCGGCGGCGGCGGCGGCATTTTCTTCGTCTGCTCCCTCACCAACTTCTCCTTCAAGACTTACCACTGTTTCGTCTTCGTCTTTACCCTCCTCACTCTCACTTTCTAGAGATTTCCACAAAGCTCAGTTGCAGGCCCAATTTAAATCGTCGCCGAGAAGAAATCTCTGTGTCTGCGCGTCCTCCCTCCCTCCCAGCGATTCTGGTACTCCCCTTTTCTTCCATCCATGGATAATTCTCAAGCACGAATGTGCTGAACTTTTTCTCGATTTCTTTGTGGGATGTTGCTTTAATTTATTGTTTACTTCCGTGTTCTAATGGTTCTCTGGCCTACCATTCGAAAGTCGTCACTCTGCTCGATTACGGAGCTGGCAATGTCCGTAGCGTCAGAAACGCCATTCGCCATCTCGGTTTTCAGATTAAAGATGTGAGCTTTTCAATTTCTATTTGCTCGATGTCGAACAATTGGCTTGTTCTTATAGTGAGGAAACTAACTGATAAGTGTAAACAAAACTTCAGGTGCAAACACCAGCCGACATTCTGAATGCAGACCGGCTCATCTTCCCTGGCGTGGGGGCATTTGCACCAGCCATGGATGTGCTTAATAAGACTGGGTATGTGTGTTTCAAAGTCTTCCGCAGTGCATTTGTTTCTAGGAAAATCTTATGATTTGGGAGTTCAGAACTTGATTTGACTGAATTCTGTGTTGGGGTTTAAATTTCTCAAGGGTAGTTGACGATTTGTCTTTATTTGTTTGTTGTGTGATTAATGTCTGCAGAATGGCTGAAGCTCTATGTGCATACATTGAGAAGGACCGTCCATTTCTAGGAATCTGCCTTGGACTTCAGTTACTTTTTGAGTCCAGCACAGAGAATGGTCCAGGTCAGTTGGGAACTCCGACCACTTGATAAAGCTAGATTCTTTTGGAGCGTATGAGTCTGCAACAGCAACTGTTTCTGTCTACTTTACCATTTTGGTTTAGCAACCTCTTTTGTTATATTGGATTGTCCAGTGCCAAGTATGATATCGATTAATACATTCAATTGCAAATTGTGTGTATAGATGTTCGGGGGAGGGGCTGTACTTCTGTGAAATAGCTTGTTGAAAGAAAAATTAAGGAAAAACTAGTATACATGTGGATGGAAATGAGTCCATGTTCAATGATGATGTAGTTGAGCGTATGCTTCTTTCCTATACTCTCAGCTTTTTAATATCTCTGGCTGCTTTCATGCTGACACAGTGACTGGTCTCGGCTTAATCCCTGGTGTGGTTGGGAAGTTTGATGCCTCAAATGGGTTCAGAGTGCCACATATTGGTTGGGATGCTTTGCAAATTGCTGAAGACTCTGAGATTCTGGATGAAATTGGCAACCGCCACGTGTATTTTGTCCACTCTTACCGGGCACTGCCGGTACCTTCCTGTTACTTTACTTTGTAGAATCTGTTGGATTGCCTGTTTCTTTCTCGTCGATCGTATATCTTTTGTTGCACCTCATATTGGGACTTAATACCGGTTCCTTATGCTTTGGCAGTCAGAAGAAAATAAAGAGTGGATTTCCTCCACTTGTAATTATGGCGACACATTTATTTCATCTGTCAGAAGGGGAAATGTGCATGCGGTTCAGTTCCATCCAGAAAAGAGTGGAGGTAACTAGTTTTTCTCATCTTTGCTCATTCCCTTGTGAGTCCAAAAGCTTTGAGACTTTTGCCATCTTTTTGCCCATCTTGTTTTGCAAATTGTCTAAGATAATTTATCATGGCTTGCTGACTACAATAGTGGTTGAATAAAAAACTGCAGATGTTGGTCTTTCAGTATTGAGAAGGTTCTTACTTCCAAAATCATTTCCGCCCAAGGTAGCTTATGACCTCTGAAACTCACCGCTGCATAATGTGCCATCTTGAATAACCATCTAACTATGTGCAAACTTTGTCTGAAGACAGAAGCCAACTGACGGGAGGGCATCAAAGCTTGCAAAAAGGGTATTAACTTCTGAAACCAGCTTCATTTAGTTATTTTTACACAGTGATGGTGGTTTTCTGTGAAGATGAATTGGAGGCAGTAAAACATTCATATTCTGGTTACCTTGTCTCTTTTTAATGTATCAAATGTGATATATCCTTTTTGGAAACATTCTGTTTGCTGCGGTTCAGGTAATTGCTTGTCTTGACGTGAGGGCAAATGACAAAGGAGACCTGGTTGTGACCAAAGGAGACCAGTATGATGTTCGGGAGAATACAGAAGAGAATGAGGTATGATCAGGGGATTGTTTTATGAGTTCAAGAAACATCAGTACACACTGTGGCTCACCAAGAATTCCCTTCCTGCGTCCTCTATTACCTTAGGAAACACTTTTGGTCCTGTTTTGTTTTGTCTTGCAATTGAATTCTTGATGCCTGAAGATACTGTTTACTATGAAACAGATATGGCTACTCTTTTCTATTCTAGCCAACTTTTCATGTCAATTTATGGTGTATAGGTGAGAAACCTGGGCAAACCAGTAGAGCTAGCCGGGCAGTACTACTTAGATGGGGCTGACGAGGTAGTAGTTATTATTATTTTAGAGTATCCTAATTATGATTCAATATTGAACTCGATCCAGTTCTAACCCATGCATGGTCAAACTCAGGTTAGTTTTTTGAACATCACTGGCTTCCGTGACTTCCCTTTGGGCGATTTGCCGATGCTGCAGGTTGGTTTTTGACCATCTTAATTGTGTGCAAATGAAGAGCTCTTTTTCTTCTTCTACCCTGAAGTGTGTCCACAACCCTCTTAAGTTATATCTGCTTAATGCATTTTTTAGGTCTTGAGGAACACTTCGGAAAATGTTTTTGTACCATTGACTGTTGGAGGTGGCATTAGAGATTTTACCGATTCAACCGGCAAGTACGTTCGCTAATTGTACATGATAGACTTTGATTTTCAGGTATCTTCAAGGTATCTTCTTTATGCTCGTTTTGCTTTTCAGGTACTACTCCAGCTTGGAAGTTGCTTCAGAATATTTCAGGTCAGGAGCTGATAAGATTTCCATAGGAAGTGATGCTGTTTATGCTGCAGAGGAATACTTAATAACTAAAGTAGGTGATAACTACCGTACTTTATGCCGGCAAACAGTTTTCATGCATATATCAATAGGCTTGTTTCTGCATATTTGAAAGATTCTTTCAACCGTCTGTAGGTTAAGACAGGAAAGACCAGCATTGAACAGATTTCTAGAGTTTATGGAAATCAGGTAATGTTTTCCTGGCTTGTATTTGTGGTAACCTGATTCTTTTCGCCTACATTTCCCGTATACAGTGTGAAAATGAATCTTTGAAATGGAAATTTTCCCTGAAGAAAAGAACAAAGTTTCTATCTGGAGTAGGCCTTGATATGACCCTAATTCGAAGAATCATCAGCATGATCTGGCCATCTTTTGAGGATTTTGCAGGCACTATTAGGATGCTTGTGATTGATTCCTTAGCATAGATTGTGATTTTCCCGGCTTAACTATATGCTTCATTCTCTTCCGTGACTTGAGCTGGTTGTTATTACAGGCTGTGGTTGTCAGCATTGACCCTCGACGAGTGTACCTTAGTACTCCTACTGATGTAGAGTTCAAGGCAATAAAGTTAACAAACCCAGGTGAAAAGAGAACATACTTAATAGTATTTCTACCTTATTAGTCTCTGTAAAACCATTCATAAAAAAGAAACGTCTCTTTACTAATGAGGTTGTAAAACAATGGTTTTAGGTCCAAATGGAGAGGAATACGCCTGGTATCAGTGCACGGTAACACCCTTATACTCCCAGCCCTTCTCTCAGGGGATTGATTGGTCTGCGCCGATGTGATTTTTCACGCCCCATTTTCGTACTTGTTCTTGAAGGTTAGTGGTGGTCGAGAAGGCCGGCCAATTGGAGCATATGAACTTGCCAAAGCAGTTGAAGAGCTTGGTGCAGGGGAAATCCTTTTGAATTGCATCGATTGCGATGGTGAGTTTCCACATCGCCTAAATTCCCTGTGATTTACGTATCGTTTGAAACCAGTGTATGCCTCTCTCCCGACATTGTCGCATAATGTTTTCCCCGCTTCCCATACAGGTCAAGGAAAAGGTTTCGACATAGACCTGATAAAGTTGATATCCGATGCTGTCAGTATCCCTGTGATCGCCAGTAGTGGTGCAGGTGCTGCTGAACACTTCTCAGAGGTGTTCAAGAAAACCAACGCGTCCGCTGCATTAGCTGCTGGCATCTTCCACAGAAAGGAGGTACACGCCTCATCATACAGTTTATCCCTCTGGGAAAGTGTCCTTCTTTGATAGATGTTCTGCCATAATGTTATACTGAGGCCTGCTTTTTCCAGGTCCCCATTGGGTCTGTGAAAGAACACCTGTGGAAAGATGGCATTGAAGTCAGGATCTGATATTCAAGAACTGCTTGCACCCCTTGGAGATTTTTCAATGCTCTCCAGACAGGTTCGCAGGATGGCTTGAGCAACAATCTTTGTTTTCAACATGACTTGGAACAAGACTCCGTCACTCTGGGTTGAGAATAGTGTTATTGGACATAGCTGCTGAGTAGTTTGGCATCGTGTTTGAGGAATGACGGTTTCGTTTTCGCTCAAGTACATTCTTGACGTGCGTGAAGGGAACTGTTTGCCTCATAATGGCACTTGATACTCGAAATGAAGATTTGGTAAATTAAAAAGAGTTGCAAGTGTCTGGTGTTAGAAAGACAAACATTAAGTCCTAACAGCGGAATCACGACGGGTTAGGTCAAGAATAGTATTATTTATGCCCACCTCAATTACGGGGAGTGGGTATGGGTATTATCCGCTTCAAAACAAGCCGGGTAAAACGAGTTGGATCAATGCTGCATAATAGCACTTGATACTCAAAATGAAGACTGGTAAATTAAAGAGTTGCAAGTGCTGGGGAAAGACGAGCATTAGGTCCTGACCGTGGATTCAAGACGGATCAGATCGAGGATAGTATTCTTCTGCCCATCTCAACTATGGGGTATTCCGCCTAATCATGTCGGATAAAACGAGTCAGAGCTGAATTTTCATCCCTACTCGAGAATATCGTTGTGCAAAACAAGAAACATGCACTTGCAAATGTTTACCAATGTCACTTACCGAGTTGAATACTCCATCGTATAAGCAGAGGCCAACAGGGAAAATAAATATTGAATCGCTACAAACCCGACTGTTCTTGATCCATGACCAAGTCGTGGCAAAAGCCGCTACTGTACTGACTACTGAGGACAAAACTCAACTTTTATATGGGCCAACAAACAGAACCCTACAAAACTTTGCTCAGGTCTCAATGAAGTCTGCTGTTTATTCTTTCTTGTCAAACGAACCCCATACATTATAGGGGATGGAGGAAGAGAATTCACCAGTTCTTCAGCACCACCACAACTCTCTCTAGCTTATGTCCTTAGACGTCAAGAAGCAGCCTGCGAGGATCCTCAACCACATCCTTGATGCGGCGCAAGAAGAACACAGCCTCTCTCCCGTCGATCAGCCTATGGTCATAGGTGAGAGCAACGTACATCATAGGCCTTGGGAGAACATTGCCTCCAACAACCATTGGGCGGCTCACAATCGAGTGCATCCCCAATATTGCAGACTGCCCATTAAAAAAGAAAAACGTGAGAACATTGTCCACAAAAGCCAAGAAGTTGGCTGTGTATGAAATCTTCACACCAAATATCATCCATTGTTTCAACTTTTCTAAGTTAGAATACTGAACCTGAGGAGGGTTGATGATGGGAGTACTCAAAAGGCTTCCATACACACCGCCATTAGATATGGTAAATGAACCTCCTGCCATCTCATCAATTGAAATGGTCCCATCATTCGCCTTCTTTGCGAGGGTATTAATCTCCTTCTCAATATCAGCGAAATTCATGTTGTCAGCGTTGCGAATCACCGGCACAACAAGTCCCTGGAAGAACCCCAAGCAGAAGGGGGGAAAAAAAGTCATCAGCCAGTGACAGGGATCTATGAACAAATAGAGCTTTCACAGGTAGAATAGATTAGAATAGATTATAGAATGTTTCTTCTACCATTAAAACTTGGGAAGACACCCTGATATAGACAACCACCTACTGCTAACATAAACCAGCAACACAAACAACCCTTTTTTTTTTTAAACAAAGATCACAAACAACCCTTGAATGGGACCTAAGCAGGGATGGGCAACGGGCAGGTTGGGTGGGTTTTGGTCTCAAATTGACCCACCCGCTTATTAGCGGGTTGGAATAAATGTGACCCGCAATCCACCCACATACTTCTGCGAGTTGGGTTGAGTGGGTGGCGGTTGGGTCGCGGATGAACCCGCAAAACCAATTCTCCATTTAGCCATTAAGAAAGTTGACTAACATTTATAATAATTTCATAGCAAATTAGCAAGATTGTATCAATAATTTGTGATTTTGATACAATTAATAATTTATAGCTTGCATCCCAATATTTAATGGTTATTAACAATAATCTGCATACCAATATCCAATATCTAATGGATATTGCAGAACACAATAACCAATAATAGTAGTCAAAACTATTATTTATTCTCCACCATTTGAAGTATATGGTCAGACTGTAGTGCAGTTCGAAAATATGATAAATATTCGATACTATAAAAAACAACATTTTTTCAGTAAAAATAGGATGTGGGTCATATGGGTGACCCGCAATCCACCCACCACTCACCCACATCAGTGCGGATGAGAGATTTACCAATCCGCAATCCACCCACATAAATCACTGACTGCGTGCGGGTCGGGTTATTTGCGGGTGGATCGATGTCAATCCGCGGATTAACCACCCACGTGCCCACCCCTAGACCTAAGTGCACTTCTCTATTAAAATTACAAAGAAATCTAGCAAGAATACAACTATACCAGAACCAGAGGGTGAATGATTTTACTAGTATAAATACACCAAGGGTCGCCACATCTGACCACCATTCAGAGAAGCAAGATCCAGTTTACCACGAGGATCACATTTCTCAACGGTTTCTCGTCAATACTATGATGTATGATGCATCAACTCTACGGGGCCTTAAATGAAGAAAGCTTTAGTACTCCAGGCTGGAGCACACTACTGATGAAAAAAGAATGTATGATGTATCAACTCTACGGGGCCTTAAATGAAGAAAGCTTTACTACTCCGGGCTGGAGCAATATCAACAAGTATCACCATGGGAAGAATTACTAAAAATGTAAAGTATGCAGAACAACAGTTTACTCAATTAAGAAGATAAAGACAAACCTTTGGAGTCCCAACAGCTATACTAATGTCTATGTAATCTCTATATATGATATCATCCCCATCGATTACTGCATTTACAACAGGCTGATGCTGGAGTGCGGAGACTGCAGCCTGAAATATCCCATAAACAAGAAAAGAGGTAAGAAAGTGTAACATGTTGGGGAAATATATCTTTCAAAATTATCACATTCTTGCCTTGATGAATCCAGACATAAGCCCCAACTTCACACCATGCTTTTCATAAAAAGCATCCTTGTACTCAGAGCGAAGCTTCATCAAATTAGTCCTACAATAAGAAATTCAAGTTTAACAGGAATTCCGTTTGAGAATACAAATAAACAGGATGGATCAGATGATTACTGTAGGAAGTGTTGGCATTTAAAATTTGAGGTGTGACCATAAGTAAGAACTTATCTTTATGTGGAAGGAAAAAGAAAGAATTTTCCTGGAATTATGAAAGGTTGAGGAATATACCCCCAATTTATCCTACCGTACGAGGACGGAGGTTATGCAAAACAAAGCCATCGGTTGATTTTGATTTTGAGCAGGGTAGAAAGGAGGGGAACCTAGTATGCACAGTACGCAGAATATTCCAAGAGCAAGAAAAAGGTAACAATTAAGAACCATAAAATTCTAGAAGCATTTGGTCGGTTGGTCCTACAGTAATCATCTGATGCACTTTCATTACAGTCCCAAGCCAAAAATCTCTGTACTGAGAGGTACTACTAGGCTGACCAAGAATGAAAATTAGACAGCTTCAGTCAACAAAATTATTGATTCAGTTAAACTAAATCAACTCACATATCCACTTCATTGAATGTTGTCAGCAAAGCAAACGTGTTTTGCGAGTCCTTCAATCGGGTGGCAACTCTTTTGCGAAGCCTTGTCATTGGAACCTGAATGAGTAGACGGCACAGAAAAAACCTCATTATCTCATATACTTCCACTTCAGATCGTCTCCAGGAAAATTATATACAGCATGAACCAAGGAAAACAACTTACACGTCTTTCTCTATCCTTGGGGGGAAGCTGAGGTTCTGAAGCAGCTTGTCTAGGAGGTGATGTAGCTGGAGTTGATTTCTTGGGCTTCTCTGCAGCAACATCAGGTTTAGGTGTCTGCTTTACCTCATCTTTCTTTTCAGTTGGCTTCGGAGCAGCTTTCTCGGGTATTTTTTCAGATGGAGCAACATGAGCTACTCCTTCACCAGACTTTGAAATGATAGCAACCTTAGTTCCTGGCTCAACTGTATCTCCTTCCTTGGCAACAAACTATCATACAGGAAATGATCATTAATTTCATAATCAAAATCGTCCAACTGAATTTTTTTATTATTGACAACTGGGAAAGACAAAGATATATACCTCCTTTATCACACCTGCTTCCGGACTAGCAACATCAATTGTAACCTGCACAAGCAGAAATGCTATCAGCATTACAATGCAAATTTCAGGTTCTATCCAAAAGAAGGGATGAAAAAAAAGCCAAGAACAGACTAGAGAACAATACCTTATCTGTCTCGATTTGTGCAATGGGTTCATCGACTTCCACCCTATCCCCAGGCTCTGGAAACAGCAAATAAACAAGTAATCAGAAACAAGTGTCACATGCAATGAAATTACAAATCGGGACATACAAGTGCAAGACTAAGAAAAACATACGCTTCAAGAATGTAGCTAGAGTGCCATCAGTAATAGATTCACCCATGAAAGGTACAACAGCCTCAACCAAATCCGCTGCATGAGATAATCATTAAGAGAATGTCAGAAGAACTCAGATGAGCCACAACTTCTCTTAGAAAATGAGAAAGCAGAACAAAAGAGATACAACTTTATGGCATATCATTCAATACTTAGAAATATTGTTCCATATATCCAAAGCCGACAGCACTAACGCACAATAATCTCATTAAGAAACAGAACTGACATTGCACAATTCAAGGCATACTATGCTCCCATTGTCCAATACAAATGGTACCATAATTGAGGACATTGCTGGCTGGGCATGACATTAATGAATGCATAACCAGATGGGGAACAGAATCAAAAAGGGAGGAGTCAAGTTCACACCACTATCAGAAGAAAAACCCTTGCTCCAAATTTGCGTAGTGCCCATTAAGTGAATGGTTGAGAAGACATCCCTGCATTCAAGAACTGAACACTTCAGTAATAATAGAATTAGAGTGAACAGAAACTCAAGAATATATTTCATGACCAGCATTTAACTCTCCCTGTCTGAATTGTTTAACTAGCAAATCTAATTGTATGGAGGCAACATAATCTAATGACATCTAAATTATCAAGGACATTGATCCACTTCATACGGTTTTCTTATCCAGATATTTAAACACTTGTATAGACCCACTACAATACCGGTTTTCTTTTCTTAAAACATCTACAAGTAAGTTAATCGAAACAGCAGCACTGGAGTAAACAATACAATCACAAAGCCACAGGGAAATAAGAAATCTTGCTGATTGAGCAGCATGACATGAAATAGGCTCCCAAAGTTATATGTTATATTATCTTTGATCTTTCCACATTAAGATGCATTCGGAATTTATTATCACGACACATCACTAAGTACAAAAGTTGACAGTGTCTCTAACCTTTTGGGCGTCAGACTAACTGTAGAACCTGTAACAGTAAAAAAAAAAAACCCTTACATTCAGCATCCACCAAAAACAACCACCAAGCAAAGGGGTAAGCTTAGGTAAATATTACCTGGCACAACAAGGCGACTGTAGTTCCGGACATGTCCTAGTCCTCTTGGAGCAAGTAAAACCTGTTAACATGGTTGCAAATCAGATTTTCTTTACTTTTCCAACACAAAAAGATATGAATTCATTCATCACCCCGAGCAGCATGAGCCCCAATCACATGATTCAATAACAATTCGGTAACTTCTAACCCCATTCCCTCACATGGCATATTCAGTTACTCGGATGTCAACCCTAAAAACTGTTCATTCCTCGAATCGACATAGACAACAAAGACTAGGCTATGTCTCCAAGAATTAGAGGAGAGCAAAAATGGTACAGAACCAACAAGTACCTCTGTCTCAGCAGTAGAAGCAGCTCTCGGCGTAGACGCTGCAGGTCGAATGGTCTGCAGAGACTGCTTCAATATCTGACAGAAAAACGAAATTTCCACAAATCACAACAGATCGAGTAAACTCCAGATAGAGACATCCGAATATAAATGAATAATAAGAAGATTACGAATGTCCTAACCGAAGAAGACGAGCCTCTCCTCCTGAGAACGCCCAACATCGTAGCTTCGAATCTGCGCTTCGACAATCAGAAGAAACGACTAGACTCATCAGACGAAATTCTCACCGCTCAGAATCCATCATAAGGCCAACAGAACCCAAAAAACACTTTCAGACGCAACACGCACGCAACGCATAATCTTCAACATAACGCGATCGCAGGAAAGATTCGGGAAATGCTGAGAGGGAGCACGAACCTGTTAGGGGCCGACGGACGGCGGGCCTCTGACCGGAGGGAACCGAGAGGAATACGGAAGAGCTTGATGCCGAACGGCAAGTAGGGTTACCCTTTTGGGGCACAGAGAGAGAGAGAGGGACGAGGAGAAAAGGGAAGGGAGACGGTGGGGAAAGGTCAGAGAGCCGCGAAGCTTGGATTCTGAGCACGTTCCATCTCTGTGTAGAGCCTTCATAGGCCTTGCGAGTGGGCTACGTGGCAGTCCCCCATTGGATGAATTATTCTATTGTAAAAGAGACCATATTTCATGGTTGCCCAAATTGATTTTCCTTCCATTGTTGCGTTGAAATTTTGAGGAAAGTGAAGCGTAAGTTTAACATTAATTATGGAA